AGATTCCATAAAATTGTGTGTTAACATTTTTCTGAGATAGCATTTTAGATTGAATTTTATTGGCATTCTCTGTCACTTGTGCAAATAAGTTGTGCTTAAACATGCACGCTATTCTTATGTGACAACTAATCCCTTCTTGATTGCATTAGTCTGGCTCATTGTGGCATGAAAGCATGCTGGCATTCAAAGCAGTTGAAAATGTATGACTTTTGTAACAAGAAAGTCACTTCTTGCATTGTACAATGGAAACGCTTACATGTGACTGTTTCTTTAGTATTTTTGAGATGACAGTGTTTATAATATCCTCTTGTTTACACTGCAAATTAGAAGACAGGAGAATAATTTTTGTTAGTATAGTGTTACTTGTTTACACTGCAGATTAGAAGACAGGAGAATAATTTAGTGTTAGAATAATGTAACTTGCGAAAGACAGTGAAGCCATATGGGATTACAAATCCCAGAATTTTGAGTGATACAAGAACCGACTTTCTTGTTCCAAAAGTCTTACATTTTCAATATAATCAATTGTAGTTTTGCTCAGCCTGTCTTTATGCAGGTCATTTTTGCTAGTGGGATCTTAACAAAATTGTATGTGTTAGAAGTTTGTGCTGCTCAGGTAAATATTCATAAAGTCAAGCACCTGTAGCAGAAGAACTTTGATGTATAATACTTTTCTTTTAATATAGATCCAAGACATCATTGTTCAGACTCAAGAGGGCCGGGAGACACGTTCTGCAAAGGATGCGTTGCTACTCTGGTGTCAAATGAAAACTGCAGGGTATGCTGAAAGAAAATATTTCATTCAATAAACAACTTAAGACTGTTGTATTAACTAAGGAAATAATAAGAAGGAGGATTGTTTGAGATGTGATTACATATCTCTCCAAATGCTGTCAAATGTACCATAGGGATGGAGATATCTACAGCTGTGCTATAAAATTGTATTTAAAATATGCTCTCTAGTCTAGATACTTGTCTCATTGATAATGACACATTACCAATTCTGTATTTAGATATCACAATTTTTGCTTTGTGGTTTTCTTTTTGTGTTTGCGTCCTGATTTCTTTTTAAAGTTCTTTTTTATTGTTCTATGTTTGGTGGAGGTTGTAACTATTTAAATACTTTGCCAAGCTTGCAGTTTTTGTAGAAATCCAGATGCTCACAGTGAGAGGGCAAGAATCCCAGAGCAGCCTATATCTATTCTCCCTCAATTTCAGATATGTAGGCACTGTATGCAAAACTGTCCTGTTTCAGGTGCCAAGGCATGATTCATAATCCATCCCATGTTGACTCTGATGTGACTAGTTCAGTACAAATGCTACTAAAAATCAAAGTATCACCATTTTGATAGATAGCATAATCACTTGCCAGAGTAAATTTCTAATTCTTTGGGATTTTTTCCCAAAATAATATATAATCAGGAGAAGGGCGTTTGGATTTTGTTAGACTACAACTTCCACCCCCAGAAGTCGTCATAGGCAGTGGTGATGAATAATAGACACTATAGTACAACAAGTTCCCCATCCCTTACTGGGATCATCTGGAATTTCTGGGATGTCTGATGAAATGAAATGTGAAAGAGACACATAGGCCCCGCTCCCACTGGACCATATGAATGAATATGTGTGATTTTCATCATGATAATAACTGTACTCTGCATGTTGTTTTTTGGGGGGGAGGGGGTTGTATTCATTTATATGGTTCCTGGTGGCACAATGAGTTAAATTGCTGAGCTGCTGAAGTTGCTGACCAAAAGGTCAGTGGTTCAAATCTGGGGAACGGGGTGAGCTCCCACTGTTAGTCCCAGCTTCTGCGACCTAGCAGTTTGAAAACATGCAAATGTGAGTAGATCAATAGGTACTGCTTTGGTGGGAAAGTAATGGCACTCCATGTACTCATGCTAGCCGAATGACCTTGGAAGTGTCTATGGACAACGCCGGCTCTTCGGCTGAGAAATGGAGATGAGTACCACCCTCCAGTCAGACACAACTAGAATTAATATTAGGGGAAACCTTTACCTTTACTTCTTTTTTTAATGAATTTTTATTAAGTTTTTATTAAGTACAGCGAAAGAGGGGGAATATTTTCAAGAAGATAGTAAAGTAGGAAATTAGTAGTGACGAGAAACTAACTACATGTGAAAAAATTTAAAAAAAGAGAAAAAATAAATGCAAAAAATGCAAAAAATACACACACAAAAATAAAAAATATAAAAGATAAAAATATAATAAAATAAGATGTGGACTTCCTTCTGGTTCTGCCCGTATAAGTTCTGTTAGTGTGTAGTCTTATATGATACTTCTTTCCGGTTTGTTGTTACCTCCGTACCATTAACCTTTACCTTTACTTATTCGACTTATATCCTATCCAGAAATGGGGTGCAAAGTGGCTTGTGGCAAGTTTTAAACAAATACAAATCCCAGCAAATAAAAACAGACACAAGAAATGACAAAAAGGTGCAATGTTAAAGTGTAATAAAACACTGTTGAATTAGAAAGAGAAAAGAACCCATGATTAGTATAGCACTATTGCATTAAGAGTTTGTTTAACAGCATCTAATTAATTGCTGGAAGCCCACTGATTAAATCAGTCTTTTCCATTGATGGAAGGTCAACAGGGAAGGGTCTCATCTGGGCCACAGAGAAAGTGCTAAATGTGTTTGGATAACATTTAGTATTTCAGTTTGGGATTTTACTGATGGGAACTGAGGCAGAAAAGGACTATGGATACTTGACCCTAAAATAAAAGTGGCATAGCTGTACATTATTTCTCCTAAAAGCTAGACTCCTGAGAGGCTATTTTTACTTTGAACTTCTGCAGTTCGCTGGAATGTAACCATCTGTTTTCAAGTTCCAGCCTATTGCCATATTCTCTTTTTATACTCACAGAGACCAGAGCATGCTGTTTCATTTGTTTTCTAGCTTGGATTAGTTCTCCTCCACCTTATTTAACAATTTAGTGTAGCATAATTTATATGTTCCAAGTTATTAGAAGCAAAAACATTGGATTTAAAATAGAAATGTGAGACTGCCAACCTTGTGTGCCTTGTAGTTCTTTGGTGAAGCCATTCTCCAGCTATGGATCATTATGTAGCTGAACCCTCATGCAAAAGAGGGAGGTATCAACAGGATTGGGTTAACAATAAGGTTTATGGAAGTTAAAAAGAAAAAGAGAGAAAGAGAAGGGGGATCTGAGGATAGAAAAATCTGAAACAGCTGAATAGAAGCCAAGTATTCTCATTGGCCATGGAACGATGACCATCTTGAAAATAAGTGTAGGTTAGGAATGGGAAAGGAAAAATAAAATGAAGGAGGATACAGTGGAGATGAATGGAATAAAATAAAAAGAGCATGACTAATTAGCTGAAGCTCTGAAGAGGAAGACTTCCTCATTTTTTCATCAATTCATGTACTTAAAAAAGAAGAAAAAAACAATTTACATTGTATTGTATTGTGACCTAGAAAGATAGCCACACATCTATGTATATTGGAATTAGTGGATTTTTAATTGTTTTAGTCACAAGGGAAAGAGATTTATTTTAGCCATAAATCCTGTGCTGTATTTGTATGCACTCTTTTACATTTTCCCATAAATGGTCTTAATTTACTTGAGTGAAACTGGGGTACTGCTTTGACAGGCACTATTGCACTGTAAACATACCTTGTTTAACAGAAAAAAGATTTTCCCTAGGATGCTTCCTCCTTCATTGTCAGGTGCACATCATTATATTGCTAGTTGATATTGCTAGTTGATGTTAGCTTATGTTGTAAATTGCACCTTATTTTACATGTTGTACACCGCCGTGAGTCGCCCCAGGGCTGAGAACGGCGGTCTATAAGCACAGTAATAATAGTAATAATAATAATTATGCATGTATTTGTGTGTACCTGCATGCATGGCCTAGATCTTAGTAATCCAAACTAGAGAAGACTCACTAAATCAATGGCAGCTTGATATGTTAACATATATGTGAATTCTGCATTCAGTTGTCATGTGCTTGTTGGATTCAAGTCACCATCACACATGTGCATATCCATATACAGTCTATTGCCTCTCCTTTTTCTTTATTATTACCAAGAAAGTGTGTGTACTTGTGGAATGGGTAGGAGTAGGTAGGTGGAATAGAAGGAAATATATGGTACTTTGGGTCTCATTCAGACAGAACAGCAGTTGGAGCTAGGTGGCCCAAGTAGAGCAGTGTGATGCATCCAAGACAAAAATTCTTTTGCCTGTGGTGGAACATCTGTCTTTCCAAATGCTGTCAGTTTGTGTTATTCACCTCATAATTAAAATGCAGACATAACAAATGCATTTGCAAATACTGGTGAAAATGTGGCTTATACCAAACATGTTAGATCACATTCTGACCTTTCTGTTGGTACAAAAGTATTTTGTCATATCAGATTGTGTCTGCATTTAAATTAATGTTATCTAGCTCTCACCTGCTAAATTGAGTTATAATGCCTTTTGTGTCCACCCCCCCCCCCTTGTCTTTGCAATGCAGCTACCCTCATGTTAATGTCACCAATTTCACCTCCAGCTGGAAGGATGGCTTGGCTTTCAACGCCCTTATTCATAAGCACAGGTAAGGATTGGAAAGATACCCTGCAAAGATCTGAGGTGCAATGTTGAGAGACAGTCGAATGGTTGTGCTGATGTCATAGAATCATAGAATAGAATCATAGAATCAAAGAGTTGGAAGAGACCTCATGGGCCATCCAGTCCAACCCCATTCTACCAAGAAGCGGGAATATTGCATTCAAATCACCCCTGACAGATGGCCATCCAGCCTCTGTTTAAAAGCTTCCAAAGAAGGAGCCTCCACCACACTCCGGGGCAGAGAGTTCCACTGCTGAATGGCTCTCACAGTCAGGAAGTTCTTCCTCATGTTTCTCATGTGTTTAGGTTTTCCTTGTAATTGTGGCTGCATATACAGAGGCTTGGCTAAAGAGGTGTACTTTTCCGTATATTTTATTTGCCTTTCCCCTATTAACTTTGCCTGCCTTCTCCAAGAGTCTGCAATAGTTCTCAGGCTGTATCTTCACTTACCCAAATAGTCTGGAAAAAACCGGTCTACTGCTGTCCTGATGCAGTAGAAGAGCATCCCTAGAACCCTTTTAGACCGCCAGTTGAGAGCACATTGGGGCCATAGAAGCAGCTCCCTCATAGAAGGTTTCTGGAGACATCTCTTCTGGTCAGTGACTGGTCACCTTGTTGTGACATCTTCAGAAGCAAGATGGCCAGCAATCCTCTGTGAAGGAGCTATATCTGGCTGGCAACTTCTAAATGTGTGAACACTGAATTGGGCCAGATCCAGTCCAGTCCAACTGGGCTGCACCTCCAAAACACCAAGATCATTCTGAAGCTATCTGGAACTTCCAGAGTAAATCCCATTTCCCCTTGTGCCAGATTTACAATTGAATTCAGCTATACGTCAGCTATACTCCCTACAACAGGTACAAAGCAGGTCCTCTTTATTTGACCCATGTGGGCATGACCTTTAGTCATTGTTCTGCCTATTCCCAGGATTCTGAGATGAATCCTATTGTTTATGCTGCCCAAACAGCACCATCTACACACCACAGCAAAGGTATCATCATGAGTGAGAAAACCTTAAGGTTCATGAAAGGACAAATATTTGTGAAGGGAAAGACATAATGGGAGGTGTGGGAAATGCTTCAAATTAAAACAACTCAGGTGGTCAACAGTGTGCTGACTCATTGTTGTGAGTTTGTGGCAGAATGAGTTGTGAGGGGTTGGAGTGGAGCATCCTGAAAGAAGAAATGTGTAGTTTAAGTCCTTAATTGGTGAGGTAGAAATAAAATCGAACTTCCATTATTTAGCATACTGCTAACACTCCGCTTGTTTTGTTATGTGCACCCTTGCTTAAATTTTAGGCCTGATCTTATTGACTTTGAGAAATTAAAGCACTCAAATGCCAGGCACAACTTGGAACATGCTTTCAGCGTGGCAGAGCGGCAACTTGGCATCACCCAGCTTCTTGACCCAGAAGGTGAGTCCATTTGGCTCAGTGCCTACCTTTTCAAATAAGTGAATTCAGCTGACAGAGCAAAGGAGAATTATGCTAGAGAAGTGACTGTAAGAGCTATGCAAATGGTTATTCATCTGTGGATACAAAATGTACTGGATGCACTTCCCTCTTTATTATTTTGGGTTGCTTAACAAGTGTGTTTATTTTATTTTATTTAAACCCATTGTTACATCGTACATTGTTCATGACTAGTATAATCCATGTTGGCCAGATTTTCTTGTCATTTAAATCAAATGTTTATAAATGATAGTGTTGGAAAAAGCTATAGTATATTCTTGTTGCATTCAAATTATATAGAATAACTATGCAAAAGAGCACAGAATTATCTGTACTTTCCCCAATCATTTTGATGGATTAAATTAAGTTTCACACACATAGGTTGTGAGTGTAATGTAATGAAAGGGAAAACTCATATAAGGAGGAGTACTTTGAATGCAATTTTTCTGCTTCTTGGCAGGGGGTTGGACTGATGGCTCACGAGGTCTCTTCCAACTCAAGGATTCTATGATTTTATGATAGTCACATAGGTTATTTGCAAGTTTTGTTGTTGATCTTACTCTTCAATACAGAGATTATATCAATGTAAGAAAACATGATCTTACACAGATAGGTTTTTTCTCACTGAAGTTGGCAGAGAGGCAAAATGTGCACCTTTACACCAGGTTATCTTGTAACAAAAGGGAGAAAAAGATTTCAGACATAGATCAAATATGCGGGGTATTGTTTTCAATTAACACTTTTCTCTTAAAATCTGTTTGCTGTTCAGATGTTTTCACAGAAAATCCAGACGAGAAATCCATCATTACTTATGTAGTTGCTTTCTACCACTACTTTTCCAAAATGAAGGTGCTTGCTGTGGAAGGAAAAAGAGTTGGGAAGGTAAGGATATGATTACATAAGCTCTTTGAGAATCAGGCATGTTCTGCAGCCATTTCCCCACAAAGATAGTTTTATTTCCTGCTATTCTTGAGAATACATCTTCTCTTAATAGACAACTGCACCATAAGATATTGATAATGATAATAATAATACATCTATCATCGTAATCCTGCCATCTCTCAACCTGCTTTTTGTTAGGTTCACATGTTGTACATATGTTGTTGCTGGTTAGTGCATTCAGTAGACTTTTTGTGCAATTCTTTTAATACATAGATTTGCATCTTCCAGGGGCAGGAGTGTACATTGAGCTTCCTAAACTGCACCAGGAACCATACTGTTACTGTGCTGTTGCTGCTAAAATTAAGCTCTTTATGCCTTACAAAAGGGAAGGGAGGGGAAAATGTCCCTCTGAATGTTTGTGCTACTGCGTGTTTCCAGTGACATTTTTGGTAGCAACAGCAAGTGAGATGGACCGAGGCTGCAAAAATGTTTCTTTGGGTTGTATGTGGCCCACAGGGCCAGTCATGATCTAGTGCAGTGGTTCTCAACCTGCTGGTCCCCAGATGTTTTGGCCGTCAGCTCCCAGAAATCCTAACAGCTGGTAGACTGAGAGTTGTAGGCCAAAACACCTGGGGACCCACAGGTTGAGAACCATTGATCTAGTATGAAATCATAATTATTCAGTTATTGCAACTGATTAACTATATGATGAATTTGCTCTCCTTTTTTGGGTACATCTACACTGTAGAATTAGTGAGGTCTGACACCACTTTAACTGCTATAGTTCAATATTATGGAATCATAGGAGTTGTAATTTTTCAAGGTCTTTAGTCTTTTCTACCAAAGAGTGCCATTGCCTCAGTCAAATGCAAGGATTCCATAACATTGTAACATGATAGCTAAAGCGATGTCAGACTGCATTAATTTTACAGTGTAGATATACCACTGATTTAAATATAATCATTTACCTTTAGATCACAAGAAGACAGTGAAAAGTACTCAGATGTGTATCGTCTTAATCTTCACAAACCTGTTAGCTGGGGTATAGCTGTATATTGATATAATATCTAGATATGAATATGGCATTCTCACATCAGGATAGTTCTAATTTTGGGAATTAGATACATTATTACCCTCAGTCTCTGTAAACCAGATTGTTTGGGATTGTGCAATTTACACTCATTCTTTATCAGTCTATAGAGTCTGCATAGTTCAGCATAGAACCAAAATGGATTATAGTACACTCAGGACAGTCAGCTCTACATGATTTGCTGGTAGCAACTGGCGGAAAACGTTGAGGAATGTATGGGTATAATAATAGATTAGTTTCTCTAGCAACTTTACAGTTGAGGGAGTCATGACCGTTTGAAGGCATTCACATTTATTTTAAAGCCAGAAAGATTCTTCTGGTTAATCTGGTCTGACAGTCCTAAGACTTCCAGGCAGTCATCCTTGTGTACAATTTTGAATTTCTAAAGTAGTGAAATCAAACTTGTTGACATTGTTGAAGATTCCTGTATGCAGGATCTGCAGGTTGATAAAGGACTTGACATATTTCCAGCAGCAGTAGGTGCCAAATGAACAGTGCTTTGTTTGTTTATTCCCTTTCTCAGGTAATGGACCATGCAATAGAGACTGAGAAGATGATCGATAAGTACAGTGGGTTGGCTTCAGACCTGCTGACATGGATAGAACAGACCATTACCATTCTCAATAGCCGCAAGTTTGCTAATTCTTTGGGAGGCGTGCAGCAGCAGCTCCAGTCCTTCAGTACATACCGCACAGTGGAAAAACCACCCAAGTAAGCACCTGTCATCTGGAGAGGGGGCGGGGTAATTTTAATCTTTTTTTAAAAAAATGCTGATGTTTTTCATTTTTTCAGGAGCTTAAACTGTGCCCATCTGCATTGTGACTCATTTAATTTTTGTCTGAAGTTTTTTGAGGGGGAGAGGATTGGCACGTGATGGTGATACTGTAATGCATAACAGTGCCAAGCCAAGCTGAAGGGGAAAGGGGCAGTTGACATACCCTAAATGACATTTCATTATGCTGCCAAAATAAAATGCCACTGCAGATAATTTTTTTTCAGATCTGTGTGTTTTTTTCTGTTGACTTTTCAAACTGGAGGATTTTGACAAAAGACGATGTTCAAATCTGAATTGTTAGGGGTCGTTTGACCTAGTATTTCAAAAAGAAGAAATGAAAAATGTCTCTGCTGCTCCATTCTGTACATCAAAAATTTCTGACATAATTATGGTATCTAGAGAGCAGCTTTCTTCAGCAACTAAAATGAGTAGCAGATACTTCCAGAAGACAATAATACCTAGTGTCAGGGTTTAAGGTTAACATTTAAGGATTAAGGTTTACATTTCAACATTTAGAATTCAAGATGTACATATAAGAAGTAAGGTTCATTGAACACAGTGGAACTTGCATGTTTTCCCACTTTAATCCACTTTAACTGATGTGACTGCCTCCTGCAGAATTCTGGGGCGTGTAGTTTAGGGCGGCCCAGGGCTTCTCTGGATGTGCAGTTTAAAGGCCCCTCCCTAAACTACAAGCCCCAGAATTCTGCAGGAGGCAGTCACATCAGTTAAAGTGGATTAAAGTAGGAAAATGTGCAAGTGTGATGAGGCTTGGGATGATTTGAGGGGGACTGCATCGGGCTTCAGGTCTGTGCTTTGTCCACCCTTGGTTTAGAACATACTGTATTTCCTCGATTTTATGCTGCATGTTGCTTGTGTTGCATTTCTGTTTTGCGGATGTTTTCGCAAAGCATGTTTTTAATTTACCCCTTGTTCTAGGTTTCAGGAGAAAGGGAACCTGGAAGTTCTGTTATTCACCATTCAGTCAAGAATGCGAGCCAACAATCAAAAAGTGTATACACCTAATGAAGGAAAACTAGTATCTGACATCAACAGGGTATGTAACATAGTTCCTTATAATTAACACAGGAGGCGATAGTTCAAGGTGTTCGGTCAGAGGGGGTTTCCTTCTAGAATATTTTCATTCTTTCTTTGCTGATGTGAGACCAGTCAGTACAACTAGTGTAATATAGCTGTTTTGGCTAGAGTGACTTATACTCTAAGCCAGTATTAAAAGTGCCCACTGCCTCTCTGCTCCGCTTTAAGTGACCAAAATGGCAAGCGTGTCATATTCGTTGAGGGCCCCCATATTGCTGCTGAAGACTACTTGAGCCTAAAAAGAAGGGAAGGAGGAGGGCTGCCTGACTTTCTGTGGCTTGGACAAGGGAGAAGTAATGGAGTGTGAGCACTTTTTGGTTCTGCCTCATGGAGCTGCAGTGGCACAATGGGTTAAACCCTTGTGCCGGCTGAACTGCTGACCTGAAGACCTGAAAGTCGGTGGTTCAAATCTGCGAGATGGGGTGAGCTCCCATCTGTCAGCCCCAGCTTCCCATGCAGGGGCATGAGAGAAACCTCCCGCAGAATGGTAACACATCCGGGTGTCTCCTGGGCAATGTCCTTGCAGATGGCCAATTCTCTCACACCAGAAACGACTTGTCTTGGAATACTTCTGGCACGATAAAAAAAATCTGCCTCTTGTCTTGGCCTTTTTAGTGGATTCTTAATAGCAGCAGATTGCTTTCCTTGTTCTCTCTCCCCCATTTTTTCTAGGCTGCATTCTCATTCATTTGTCTTTATTTATATTTGTATAGATGTAGGCATTTTAAGGTCAGACAATGCAATTTACATCACCCAATTGTAACCCCTAAAATGAACAGATTCTCCCTTTCTCTTTATCTCTTTCTAAGTATGTTTCCTCTTTGTATTTTTAAAAGGATAGGAGAATATTCATTTGTTAAATGCCCCTAAATATTACCCCTAACCTTTCCCCAACTTATACATGATATTGATCTATACACAAGTACATAAGATAAGTGGATTCATAGTCAGTACAAGCAACGCCATCTGTTCACATACGAGTAACTTGGTTCAGTAAAAAAAAAGATTAAAGATAATAAATATACTATTTCATAATTTTTCATTATATTACCTAATATAATTGATGTTTGCACACTGTCATTGTGACTAAGGAAAGTAAGGAGCAAGATAAAAGGGATTTTGAAGTACATAGATAGCAGGGGAAATGAAGTTAAAATGCCAGCAAACCTTTTGAATGAATTTGTAATTGTAAAAACCTAATCAAGAATGTTGATCTGTTCAAAATTCAGCAATGAGAAAAGAAGGGATCTCTGTAGAAACCTTGCATTTTCCCTAAAACAATGTAGGTTAAAGTTCTACTTACCCAAGGAATGAGATGTGTAATCAAAATACATTTCCAGTCATGATTTTCAACTTCTTACAAATCCAAGTGTCGATATCTAGATTTCCAGGGTGTATTTCATTCAGGGGTTTCTGTATAACACAGGGTGCATCTACTCTGTAGAATGAATACAGCTTGACACCACTTTAACTGCCATGACTCAATGCTATTGGATCCTGGGAATTATCATCTATACCCTTATGTGCCAAAGAATTCTGGTGCCTCACCAAACTACAACTTGTGAGAAAGTTCATTATTGTCTAGAAAATGGTTTTGTTGTTACTGTAAAATCACTAAATTTCACCATCTATTGCTGCTCACTTGTTCATTGTGCTTGTTCAGTTGAGCAGCATGTGAAGACAATGGGGTACTTAAATATAGAGAGAAAAGTATTTTGTGAACTATACCTTATCTATATCTCTCTGTTACTTCAAGGAAGAGAAATAAAAGGAGAAATATCTCGGTTTGGTGAGGAAACCTTTTTCCGATGTTTAACCAGACAGTACAGCCATTTTATTCTATACAACAAACTGAAGCATCTTACACAGCTGTTTACATAGCTTCTGGATATTCTGTAACATCTATAGATTGTCATTATGGAATATATTTACACAGGCCTGGGAGAAACTGGAGAAGGCAGAGCATGAGCGGGAGCTGGCACTGAGAAACGAACTTATTAGGCAAGAAAAACTGGAGCAGCTTGCCCGACGTTTTGACCGCAAGGCAGCAATGCGTGAGACATGGCTGAGTGAAAACCAGCGCCTTGTTGCACAGGTAATGAAGAACTGCTTGAATGTATTGGTTTCAATTTCTAATCGGTCTGCTGGCATCAGGAATAGTAGAATGTGCTGGATGTGTGGATGGCTTTTTAGTGTCGCTTCTCCAAAACCTTCTTTACATATAGCAACTTACCAACAGCCAGAAAATAGGTTTATTTTGATACAAGAAAATGGAGCTGGGTTTTTGGAAGCAATTCTATTTGTTTAGGAGAAATATAAAATAGGTATGAAAAGAGCTCTGTTGTAGGACCACTGTGGAGGAGCTTCTTTCTTATGATCAGTGTCATGGAGTTTTGCGTCTAGTTCTATGTCTATGTGGCCTTCTTTTTAAATATGATTTGGTCAGAATCCTATTGGTTACTCCCACTTAGAGTAGCTCCATTGAATCATTTGTTCAATGTGAGTCAATACAAAGGTCATTCCCTTTGATCCCATGGCCTGCTGTTGCTGAAAGTAATAATAATATTGAATCCATAGTATATTGGCTATAAAGATTTTTATAAATTCACCCTTATTTATTATTTATTTATTTATGACATTTATATGCTGCCCTCCTCACCCATAAGGGGACTCAGAGCAGCTCACAAGATATATATTCATACAATATATTATATTATAAGCATAGTACAATATCAGTATTATATATTATTATATTGTACTATACCATTATATTGTAATATTATTAGTAATATTACATGTAATATAAATATGTAATTATAATATTGTATTAATATTAGTATTATATTGTATTACATCAAAATATTATAAATATTATATGTATATGCAATATATTATATTATATTATATTATATTATATTATTAGTAAAGCACAGGAGGCAAGATAGAACTGTCTTTTGCCCCCCTCTCTCTTCACTCTGGCCCAGAGCAGCAGTTGGCTTGCCGCTCAGCAATCGTTTTTTGCCCAACTCATGGCAATGACCGAAGAAAGGTTAGTTATTAATGAGCTAAGGAACTGTAGTTGGTCACATCTCTCCATCTATCTGTATAAGCAAATACATCCCCCTTTGAACAACTGTGGACATTCCCTTGGGGTTTCACGGTGGCCAAGCCACAAGTAAACATCTACTGTATAATAGGAATTACGTATCTTTTAATCAGAGCTTGGAAATATAGCTTTATGTTTTGGGCAAAACTTGAACCAAGATCTACAGTCTATGGCCCCATCTACATGGGCCTTTTAATGCAGTTTCAAACCGGTATTGAAGAAAGTGGTTTTGCTGTGCAGATGATTATATAGGAAATCCTGAAACCCACACACACACAGCCTTTATTGGCATCCAACAACAAAATTGACATGCAAAACAGGTATATACAACAAGTCACAGATAATAGGAGCCACCCCGGGCTCCTATTATGTGTTAATTGTCGTCAAGTAGATGAATAATCTAGAGTGACAGTGATGTATGGTTGAACCGTATGGTTTCAAGTTCTAGTAGTAGAAATCAATTTATCTGATATGTGGCCTTCATCTTTTCCACTTTATCAAGCATTGTCATATTTGCCACTGGAACAAACACTCTGCCAGAAACTTACAATGGTATCCAGGTCCTTTCTGTTGGTTTACAGTTTGTTCTTTATGTTCAGTTTTACGCTTTGTGGTTAGCCTGAAAACAATGTTATTGTTGATCAAAGGCTTGTTTATTATTATTATTATTATTATTATTATTATTATTATTATCATCCCACTTTATCTCCCCTGAAGGGGACTCAGACCAGCCTAAACTAAAAGCATTGGCATAACCATTTAAAATATACAAATATGCAAACATTAAAACAGGATTAAAAATTCCCAGTTAAAAACTATTAAATTTTACTTTGGCCAGGACAACTTTGGAAATGACTTGCCAGCTGTGGAGGCAGCAAAGAAGAAACATGAAGCTATTGAAACTGACACAGCTGCCTATAAGGAACGAGTCCAGGCCATAGAAGACGTGGCCAAGGAGCTGGAGATGGAGAATTACCATGACATCAAGCGTATAAATGCTCGCAAAGACAACATTTTGAGACTCTGGGAGTTCCTGCAAGAGCTACTTCAGGCGCGGCGTCGGAGGCTAGAGATGAATCTAACACTGCAGCAGCTCTTCCAAGACATGTTGCACAGTATTGACTGGATAGATGAGATGAAAGTGAGTAAGGACTTGTGTGCTAAAAGGAAGTTGACCAGTTGAGGTGGAGACTGATCCTTGTGAAGGCAAAGTGCTTCATTGCCCCAATTCATTTATTATATTTTTGTCATACAGTTATATTTTACTCCTCTGTCTTAGGAATTCTCAAGATAGGTTATACAAAGTATACTTAAAACATTATACAATTCAGACCATCAATACAAACATCCCAAGCACTAAACAATCCATTCCAGCATCAGTAAAGTTACTTAGGCCCCTTCTACATTACCATATAATCCAGATAATCCACATTATCTACTTTGAATTGGATTATATGAATTCCACTGCCATACAATCCAGTTCAAAGCAGATAATCTGGATTTTATATGGCAGTGTAGAAGGGGCCTTAATCTGGTCCTCAGAATGCCATTAAAATATCTCGATCAGGATCTTGAAGTTTGTTAAAGAACTAATCTCAAAAACTGCTATGATTTTGGAATTGCATTGCAAGTGTGTTCAAGATCATTATGGTATAAGCATGGAGATAAATTTAGCAGTGGTTACTTTTTGAACTAGTATGCATGATACGGCTTCCATCGGCTGCATGGAAGCTTTGTAAATTAGTTTAATTTCTTCTGCACTCTGATGTGAAGTTCATAAATAAGAAGAGTAGCAAGGTTTTCTGGAATATCTTTCACTATTCCAGTGGTTCCCAATCTGTGGTCCGTAGACCACCAGTGGTCTGTAAGAACGAAAATAAGGTCCACAGCCTCACCATTACTACACCGTTGTCTTGAAACCACACGACAACGAGAGCAACTAGTCCCATGAAACCCTCTTATAGTGTTGCGGCAACAAGGATGTCAGGAGGGGGGAGGCTGACTACCCAAGGAAGATTACTACTACCACATCAGCTCCAGATTATTAAATATGGTTTTCTGTGGGCAAGCAGGTGGCGACTACTGGATGGCATATGATCTGTATCAGAAACTACACCAGATAGCCATCCAAATGACTCAGCAGCCCACAGTTAAAAATGCAACAAGATAAGCCCAATTGAAAGTGTTTATGGTATTTTGAAGAAAAATTGCAAGTATGGAGAGGATTAAGTCCATTTGCTGTTTCTTTACTCAGACTCACTCTATTCTAAAGCTGCCTTTTCTTCATGTGTGCAGATATAAATAATGTGTACTTGGCTCATAGGAGTTGAGGGGAGGAAGAGAAAGAGCACCTTTTCCCTTTGTATTTTTCTAGGTAAAACTCTTGTCTCCTGACTCTGGAAAGCACCTGTTGGAAGTGGAAGATCTACTTCAGAAGCATAAATTGATGGAGGCTGACATGGCCATCCAGGCTGAGAAGGTCCGTGGCGTTAGTGCAGCTGCACTTAAATTTGCCAATGGAGATGGTAGGTTCTTAGTCCCTCTTCCCTTTTTTTTCTCCAATGTCCATGGATATTGGTGTCTAGATATTTACTGGACATTTGACTGTGTATGTATGTATTTGTGTGAGTGAATACCAATGTTTCCTCCTGGTTTTATCACCCCAGTTCTGTCTACTGTGTGCTAGACTGTTCTCAACTCCATCTGCAATCCTGGACGCAAGCTGTTAGTGCGTGCACACAGAAGACACCAAGGATGCTGAAGTCTCTATATCCACTACTTATGTGCATCCATATGACAACCCAGAAATAAAACTTATTATGAGTTGCTGTGAGTATTCTGGGCTGTATGGCCATGTTCCAGAAACATTCTCTCCTGAAATTTCACCCACATCTATGGCATGCATCCTCAGAGGTTGGGGGCTCTGTTGGAAACTAGGCAAGTGAGGTTTATATATCAGTGGGATGTCCAGGGTGGGAGAAAGAACCTTTGTCTGCTTGAGGCATGTGTGAATGTTGCAATTGTTTACCTTGATTACCATTTAACGGCCTTGAAGCTTCAAAGCCTGGCTGCTTCCTGCCTGGGGGAATCCTTTGTTGGGAGGTGTTAGCTGGCCCTGAAGGCCAGTTGCAACATTCACACTTGCCTCAAACAGACAAGAGTTCTTTCTCCCACCCTGGACATTCCACAGATATATAAACCTCACTTGCCTAGTTTCCAGCAGACCTTACAGTCTCTGAGGATGCTTGCCATAGAAGTGGGCAAAATGTCAGGAGAGAATGCTTCTGGAATATGGCCATACAGCCTGGAAAACTCACAACAACCCAGTGATTCCAACCATGAAAGCCTTCAACAACACATAAAACTTATTATACTTAGTGGGATTGACTCTCTGGAAAACGTGTACAGAAGTTAAAAAAATTAAATGGAAAACCAAGATAAATTGCCAGAAGACAATTTATCTTGCCCTTTATTACATCTTGTAGAAAGAAATTTTTGTACTGTATCAGGGTACTCTTTTACAGTGCCAGAATACTGCCAGTCAGCTGGCTTAGCAATTAGATTTCACTTAAAAGAAGGGTAAAAGGAGGAGAGGGCAGAGGAGGATATAAGCAGCTGTCAATCGCAAGGAAATTTTTTAAGCACCAGAACCTTTTGGAGCAGTATTTGTGTACATTCATACATAGTTTTTATTCTCAATCATTTCTCTCTGTGCATAGATTATATCGATATAGTATTGCGTGTATTACAACAACCATACCAGAATTTCAATGTAAAACAATTCAGTTAAAATTTCTTAAGCATCCTTACTCTGAATATATATATATATTTTCATGTCAGGAGTGACTTGAGATGCTGCAAGTCACTTCTGGTGTGAGGGAATTGGCTGTCTGCAATGATGTTGCCCAGGGGACTCCCAGATGTTTTACCATCCTGTGGGAGGCTTCTCTCATGTCTCTTCATGGGAAGCTGGAGCTGACAGATGGGAGCTCACCCCACCCGAGATTCGAACCATTGACCTTTCAGACAACAGTCCTGCCAGCACAAGGGTTTAACCCGTTGTGCCACTGGGAGCTCCATCTCTGAATATAATTGTGTTCATCGATAATTAAATCATATTTCTTATTTACAGATTTTCTGCAGTTTATCATAGCACCCCAAAATCCTTTAAAAATCAAACAAAGCTGCCACTTTGCAGACAAAATTAAATTGACATTTTGTTTTAAAAATGAAACATTTAGCAGTATTTCTTGTGCATTTTCCCATGTTCGCCACCAGGCCCTTAGCCAGGATTTCGTTTCGGGGGGGGGGGGGATTTTTTTCAGGGGCGGTTTCGGGGGGGGCAGTCTGAGTGAAAGAGAGTCTAGCCTAGCAAACCTTTTGTATCATTACCCCAATACCCTGAGTGGGACATGAGAGAAGCCTCCTCGCAGGATTGCAAGACATCCGGGCGTCCCCTGGGCAACGTCTTCGTAGACGGCCGATTCTCTCGATCCAGAAGCAACCAGAGACGACTTGCAGCATGCAAACAAGGAAGCAAAACAACCAACGGTCCTTTTCAGGACCAACCATGACAATAATCTCAATCAACATCGAAGGCATGTCAGCTGCCAAAGAACAACTGCTCTATGAACTGTGCCGAGATAAGAAATGTGACGTGCTGTGTGTCCAAGAAACACACAGGGATGAACGACAGAAACGACCCAAAGTTCCAGGAATGATCCTAGTAGCGGAAAGACCACATGCGCAGTATGGAAGTGCTGTCTTTGTCAAACCAGGCCTCCAAGTCAGCAGTGCCCACAACACTGAAGAAAACAATATCGAGGTTATAACAGTAGAGCTTAATAACATCAGCATCACCTCTGTGTACAAGCCCCCAAATGAAGAGTTCTGCTTCTCCTCCCCCGAGAACTTTGACAGGCACCAAAGGGCGGTAGTAATTGGTGACTTCAACAGCCATAGCCATGTATGGGGCTATGCCCAAGAGGACAGAAATGGAGAGGCTGTCCTGTCCTGGTCTGAACTGCACAAACTATCACTCATCCATGATAGCAAGCTCCCACCATCCTACAACAGCGGGAGATGGCACCGAGGTTATAACCCAGACCTCTTATTTGTGAGCGACAGCATCGTACAGCAATGCACCAAATCAGTGGGACCACCAATCCCAAACACACAGCACCGACCAATAATATGCCAACTGTTCCCAACAATAAGGCCTCAGGAAGTTCGATTTAAACGAAGATACAACTTCAGAAAGGCAGATTGGACTAAATTCTCAGACATGTTAGACGACATGATCACATCGGTCGCACCAATCCCTGAGGAATACGAACATTTTATTGAAATAGTGAAAACCTGCTCACGGGCCTCTATACCGAGAGGCTGCAGAACCCACTACCTCCAGGGCATTACTCCTGAAACAGCTGCCTTGTTGGAAAACTATTACAGGCTCCACAACGAAGACCCATTTAGTGAGCAAACTCTTCAGGCAGCGCAGAGCATTGTGTCCTCCATCTCTGAAGCCAAGAAAGAACAGTGGATCAAGTTGATCACAGAGGTCGACATGGGCAGGAGCAGCCAGAAGGCGTGGAGGCTGCTGAGACGGCTGAGCAACGATCCCTCACAAACTAATACCCATGCCAACATAAAGGCAGATCAGATAGCACACCAACTCTTGAAGAATGGGAAACCCAACCTTGCCACCAAAGTAGGAAAGAAACCAATAGCCAGACAACCAGAGATTGAGAACAACAACCTCCATGAACCTTTTACATCTACTGAATTGGACATGGCTCTCAACAAATGTAAGAATGGCAAAGCAGCTGGCTTGGATGATCTACGGATGGAACAAATCAAGAACTTTGGTCCAAAAGCAAGGCGCTGGCTGCTGGAGCTGATGAACAACTGCACTGCATCCTGTCAGATTCCCAAAATCTGGAGGAAAGCAAGAGTCATCGCCATCTTGAAGCCAGTCAAGACCACAATGACCAAAAAAACTACAGACCAATCTCCCTGTTGTGCCACCTCTACAAACTTCTAGAGAGACTTATTTTGCATAGAATTACGGAAAAAATAGACCCCTGTCTGATCCCACAGCAAGCTGGCTTCAGAAAAGGCAAAAGCTGCACATCGCAAGTGCTGAACCTGACTCAGCACATAGAAGATGGCTTTGAAAGGCAGCAGATCACAGGAGCTGTCTTCATAGACTTGTCAGCAGCCTATGATACTGTGAACCACCGCTGCCTCCTCCTGAGAAAAATGTATAATATCACAAAGGACGACCACCTCACCCGCCTCATAGGAAACCTGCTACAAAACAGGAGCTTTTTTGTTGAGTTCCAGGGCCAGAGAAGCAGAGTGGCGGAAACAGAAGAACGGCCTGCCTCAGGGGAGCGTGCTTGCTCCATCCATGTTCAACATTTACACAAATGACCAGCCACTGCCAGAAGGGACAGAGAGTTTCATCTATGCTGATGATCGTGCCATTACGCTCAAGCAGGGAGCTTTGAGATGGTTGAACAGAAGCTCTCCGAAGCTCTAGGTGCTCTTACTGCCTATTACAGGGAAAACCAACTGATCCCTAATCCATCTAAAACACAGACATGCGCCTTTCACCTTAAGAACAGACAAGCATCCCGAGCTCTGAGGATTACCTGGGAAGGAATCCCACTGGAGCATTGCAGCGCACCCAAATACCTGGGAGTCACTTTGGACCGTGCTCTGACCTACAAGAAGCACTGCCTGAACATCAAGCAAAAAGTGGGGCGCTAGAAACAATATCATACGAAAGCTGACTGGCACAACCTGGGGATCACAACCAGACACAGTGAAGACATCTGCCCTTGCGCTATGCTACTCTGCTGCTGAGTATGCATGCCCAGTGTGGAACACATCTCACCACACTAAAACAGTAGATGTGGCTCTTAATGAGACATGCCGCATTATCACAGGGTGTCTGCGACCCACACCACTGGAGAAATTACACTGCTTAGCCGGTATTGCACCACCTGACATCCGCCGGGAAGTAGCAGCCAATAGTGAAAGGACCAAGGCAGAGACATCTCCAGCTCATCCCCTGTTTGGGTATCAGCCAGCACGTCAACGACTTAAATCTAGACATAGTTTTCTAAGATCTACAGAGACACTCGCTGGAACACCTCAGCAAGCGAGAGTCCAAAAGTGGCAGGCTCAAACCCAGCACCTCAACCAATGGTGATACCAGATGAGAGACTCCCCCCTGGGCACACAGAAGACTGGGCGACTTGGAAGGCGCTGAACAGACTGCGCTCTGGCACCACGAGATGCAGAGCCAATCTTAAGAAATGGGGCTACAGGGTGGAATCCTCGGCATGCGAGTGCGGAGAAGAACAAACCACTGACCACCTGCTGCAATGCACCCTGAGCCCTGCCACATGCACGATGGAGGACCTTCTTGCGGCAACCCCAGAGGCACTCCAAGTGGCCAGATACTGGTCAAAGGACATTTAACCAAATACCAAATTTGCAAAATCTGTGTGGGTTTTTTTTCTTTCTTTTTTTCTTTTTCTTTTTAATCTCTGTGTTTGTTTTGCTCTGTTAGAATTGTAAAACAATGGTTGCTGATGACACGATAAATAAATAAATAAATAAATAAATAAATAAATATTACCCCAATACCCCCATGCATATGGGATATATTGAGTATGATATGAATAAATATAACAGTTTAAGTAATGCACCAGTAAGGCCTTTTCGCAAACCACCATGAGAATTTTGGGGGGGGGGGGGCTGAAGCCCCCCCCCCCCCCCCCCGCTACATGCCTGTTCGCCACATTATACTTCAAATACTTCCAAGTTTACTTGTCCTTTGTATAGCCAAAGACAGAGAAATTAGGGAAAGTGAAAGATTATGTTGTATATTGAGGACAAGGACAGATAGGTTGGAGGGCAGGGGTGGCTATCAATCAAAGGTGAAGGGAGGGAGAGAAAAGGCAGAGCTGATTTAAAGGAATATGGAGGAAAGAAGGGAATGGCCTCAAACCAGCATGCCTTGGTCTGGTAAGAAAATGCAGAATGAAGCAGAAAAGGTCTTTCCAGAATAAAGGGATAACATCACCAAAATAAATGTCTACCTACACACAGAATGGATGAGAAAGTTTGGAAGGTTTTAGCATAGTTTGCATTACAGGTTTCTAAATGATGCTTTTCAGTGATATAATTGTTCAATTGCTCACTTTTCTCCAGCAGTTATCTCTAAAGGAAATGCTTCATTTTAAAAGATAGCTACATTTTTGCATTGCTCAAGCAGAAATATATTGTATTGGAGACAAATGGAATTTTCACTTCCTGGCTAGAATGCATTTGCATTTCATTACCCCAGGCAGTTTTTGGAGGGCTCTTATGGCATCACAGTTCCTACTCTCCCATGTGTGTGGACATAACAGACTCTAAAGCAGTAGTTCTCAACCTATGGGTCCCCAGGTGTTTTGGCCTACAACTCCCAGAAATCCCAGCCAGTTAACCTGCTGTTAGGATTTCTAGGAATTGAAGGCCAAAACATCTGGGGACACATAGGTTGAGAGCCACTGCTCTAAAGCAAGTTCAGGGAACCTTCGTCATCCCAAGAGCCAGACTTAATATCAGATAGGTACTTGGAGGTATATTCATTCCAGTGGTTGGTGGGACCAAAAATACCAGCTGATTTTAGCTTAATGTTCTTGCTGTCAGTAATTAAGCTTTATCAGTCACATTTCCACCTTACAGAATGAGGAAAAGTCCATCCTAAATTTGAGAGATTTGATGTCCTGGGAAATGGAATATGACTCTATGGGGAAACCTAGAAGGCCAAATCAGCACTGCCTGGGAGCTGGGTTGGGACCTAAAACCAGAGGTTCCCCAGACCTGATCTAAAGCTGCTCACATAGGTTTGTTAGTATTTGCCACTATTTTTAAAGACTATCTCATCTCCTCATATCTGTATCACACCATTTTATGAAATATTTCCTCTCTAGTTTCCTTTTACTATTTAGTGGCATGAATTACTTCTCTCCAGCATTGCAAAGGTCAACTTCTCTGATTCCTCAAAAAACTAATAAAAAGGCCAGATGCAAGTACTATTATCCCCTGAAAGGCATCCCTTGGTTTTGTAAAATTCCTTCCCAATGTTTATGTAGATCAGGGGTCCTCAAACTAAGGCCCGGGGGCCGGATATGGCCCTCCAAGGTCATTTAACCAGCCCTCGCTCAGGGTCAACCTAAGTCTGAAATGACTAGAAAACACACAACAACAATTCTATCTCATCAGCCAAAAATAGGTCCACACTTCCCATTGAAATACTAATAAGCTTGCATTTGTTAAAATTGTTCTTCATTTTAATTATTGTATTGTTTTAAAGTGTTTTTTGCACTACAAATCAGATATGTGCAATGTGCATAGGAATTCATTCATGTTTTTTTTAAATTATAATCTGGCCCTCCAACAGTTTGAGGGACTGTGATCTGGCCCTCTGTTTAAAAAGTTTGAGGACCCCTGATGTAGATTGTGTCTCACATTCTTACATTTCCTAGAAATGCCCAACAAAAGGTGTTTTGCATCTCAACTGACTAACTTTCTGTCCACGCATGCTTAAACAGGTTACCGACCTTGTGACCCAAAGATGATACGAGATAGAGTAAACCACCTGGAAATGTGCCACCGTGAGCTGATGGCTTTGGCTGCTGAGAGGAAAGCTCGCCTGGAGCAGTCCAAGCGTCTTTGGAAGTTCTTTTGGGAACTAGATGAAGCTGAAAGCTGGATCAAAGAGAAAGAGCATATCTATTCCTCCTTAGATTATGGGAAAGATCTGACCAGCATTCTTATCCTGCAGAGGAAGCACAAGGCTTTTGAGGATGAACTACGCGGCCTGGGAACCCACCTGCAGCAAACCATCAAAGAGGGAGAAACCATGATTGCTCAGAGGCATTTTGGGGCATCCCAAATCCGTACTAGAATTGAGGAGGTCAAAGCTCTCTGGGCCCAGCTTCAGGAGCTGGCAGCTTTCCGGAAAAAAAACTTGCAGGATGCTGAAAGCTTCTTCCAATTCCAGGTAGATGCAGATGACCTGATGGCCTGGTTACAGGATGCTCATCGCCTGGTGTCCAGTGATGATGTTGGACATGATGAATATTCCACTCTAGCCCTAGTTAAAAAACACAGAGACCTTTTAGATGAGGTAGCAGATAACAAGAGAGTCATGGACAATCTGAATAGACAGGCCCAGAACTTCCCCACTGAGTTCCGGGACGTCCCAGGATTTGAGAACCGATTGAAGGCCATTCAGACAGCATATAATGAGGTTGTATCTCTAGCAGATCTGCGCAGACAGAAGCTACAGGATGCTCTGGATCTCTATACAGTTTTCAGTGAGACTGATGCATGTGAACTTTGGATGGGTGAGAAGGAGAAGTGGCTGGAGCAAATGGAAATTCCTGACACCTTGGAGGATCTGGATGTGGTACAGCACAGGTAAATGACAGAAATGACAGCTTCCAGGGCAGTATCTGATAAACAAGTTCTGATTAAATATGTTGAATAAATCAGAGGAAGTGTGACATGAATAATTGGGATGATAGAGTCCTGTGCAATAATGTGTTGCTGTTTTTGTTGAGTCCTGTAGTATCTGAAACACTTATCACTTTTATTATGACATATAATTGAATGAATTAGAATCCACTTATGATAAAATTAGATATTTACCTTGGCATGCCCAGGCTCTCAAATCCATGTTTTACAATGAGTAAGACCCCAGTACCCACAGGGGACATGTTCCTGACTAGACCACAGTTACATGAAACCATGAATACAAACAAATACAATTGAATTACCTGTCTTCGAGTCCCAGCATATCATAGAGTTATGTTGGAGGACCTAGGATCTATGATAAGGTCCTAGAGAATCACTTGGAGGACTTGGCAAACTCCTGGAGAGAACATTTCCATCCTGCACACAGATAAATGAAACCACTGATGCAGGTCCTGTTATTATGGGGGTCCTACAATATAACATATCAATAACCTTGTGTTAGAAGTAGACTTGCAATTCTATGTATCACCTTTTGAGAACTTACTGTTGTCAGTATGTATAGTTGAATACAGTTTGCAAGACTGAGGGCAAGAGAGAGCATTTGGCTAAAGAAAAAAAGTTACCGTATTTTGTCAATTGTAAGATACCATCGATTGTAAGACGCACCCTAATTTCAGTATCACCATCACCACCAATACATAAGATACACTTGTGATTCTAAGACGGACCTCATTTTTAGAGATGCAATCTAGTTTTGTCCAGGATATTCTCCATTTACTCCAGATATAGCTATTAATGTCTGCTTTATATATCACAAAATTTCTACAGGATAGGAATGAATATGAAACCGTGTATTGACTACTGCATTAGTTGAATGTGGTATAAAGTTGTTGTTGTTTAACTGTAATTGGCCACTTGATATATGGTGACTCTCATCTACATAGGGTTTCTCACTAGTTACTAATCTAGTTACTGCCTTAAATGGAACCATTGTTAACTATGAAATTACTCTCAAAACAAACAACGACGTACATGAAGAGTTCAAGATTCAAAGGCACTGGCCTGGAACAAAGTAGCCTGGATCTTTTACAGATGGAAGTATTTCCTTAGCTTGCCACATATGCTCCAGGACTGGACTACATAGTCATAGAGAGAACCTTACTCTGGAATTGCCTCCACTTACATTAAATAAGTGTATATTTGATTGCAGGTTTGATATTTTGGAGCAAGAAATGAACAATCTAGCATCTCAGATTGATGGGGTCAATCGAGCAGCCATTGGTCTGATAGAGAGTGGACATCCTCGCAGTGGGAAAGTGAGGCAGTGCCAAGAACATCTGAATGCAAGGTAAGACCCTTTTCTATTTATTCATTTCTCCTCTGCAATTCTCATATCTACTGATATGATTTCATGGCAATATTGAGGTTGAGGTCTCTTTAGATTTAGCAATATGCATGTTACCATAAACTAAGGAGCTGCAGTAGCGCAATGGGTTAAACCCATGTGCCGGCTGAACTGCTGACCTGAAGGTCAGTTCGAATCCATGAGATGGGGTGAGCTCCCATCTGTCAGCTCCAGCTTCCCATGCGGGGACATGAGAGAAGCCTCCCACAGGATGGTAAAATATCTGGCCGTCCCATGGGCAACATCCTTGCAGACAGCCAGTTCTCTCACACCAGAAGCGACTTGCAGTTTCTCAAGTCATTTCTGGCACGGAAAAAAAAACCATAGGCTTTTGGATCAGTCTCTTGAGTTGTCCCTACCCTACCTCTTGCTTGTACACAACCCAGAGGTATCTAGATGCCTCGATGTTTAACACTTCAAGTTTAGTAGTTTGAACATCTGTTTGGTAAGAAAGGATTGTAGTTGATGTTTTTGAAAGAAGTAATCAAGGCACAAAATTATCTGCACGTCTGTTGGGATGGGTGTTTAGTGATTGCTGAACTGCTTCAGCTAGAAAGGCACACAAATACTCAGCTTTGATTATGTTATAGGTTAATTGGTTGCAATCCTTTTCAGCCAAATATTTTACTGTAGAAAATCTTGGCAAAATATATTTTTGGCCTGGAAAAAGTAAATCATATAGGAATCATGAACCAGGTTCCTGAAAATTGAGGACTATGGAAATATACTGCTACATGGAGAGCCCGTTTCCGTCTCCTATATTTCCCAGCCAGATGAAGAATTCTGATGCAGAATATAGGTCTAGGGAATCTTGCCAAAAAATAATTTAATGAAATAATTTCCTTCAATTCCAATTCTGTAATAGTGGAGCTTGCTTGAAGTTCATATCAATATCAATTAACAGAACTAGGAACTGAACATTTGCCACTCATAATGAACTCATATCAGCCAGACTTCTGGGTCCTCTGAGTTCATTTCCATTGATATTGTGTATTAAAATCTTGCGCCTGCACTCTGCTATTTTCTGCACGTGCTTGTTTTGCGAACTGTACTATTTGAATGTGAATGCTAAATTTACAGGCAAAATATCTCCCATGGTTGCCTCTCTGTATTAAACATGTTGTCTATGAGGCTGGTAAGTTTTATTTCTGTTTTTCCTGACAGCTCAGCTGTTGGAACAAGAATAGTAAAACCTAATATCTATTGGGGAGAGGCAACAGGGTGAACTGTCCAGCCGTCTCCTTTCCTATTGAACAAGCAATTTATAACCAGAACACTTAAGCCATTTATCATCTCTAATAATATCATCTCCAATTCTATCCACCTTTTTGCTAGCAGGAGAGATAGTAAAACTAGGATATGGCATAAATCTGGTCAATGTTTTGTCAAAGACTTTCATGGCCAGAATCACTTCATTGCTGTGAGCTTTCTGGACTGTATGGTCATGTTTCAGAAACTGATGGTGTCTATACTCAATTGTCAGCTGTCACTGGAGTCTGGCTAGACCTGCAGAACATGCTGCAGAGTCAAGAGGCTTCCCTTGGAGAGGCCAGCAAGTTGTACAAGTTTTGCTGTTAGTTTTTTGGGCTATATGGCCATGTTCCAGAAGCTTCTGGAACATGACCATACATTCTGGAAAACTCACAGCAACACATAAATCCAGTCCATTGATACCAACATCAGTAAGAGGGTGCTTAGTTTTATAGTTGCCTTGCTGGTTTAACCTTTCCCTGTTCTGTGCTTTCACCAGTTTTGTAAGCTTTATAGGGGTGGAAACAGTGTATTAAGAATTCCAAAAAGATGCATGAAGAATTACAGAAAAAATACTTTGCACAGTGGTTTTTTTTGTTTTTTTTTTTGCTTTCTTAGATGGAGAGTTTTCCAGGAGATGGTTGCTCAGAGGCGGAAAGCTGTGGACTTTGCCCTTAGCCTCCACAATTACTGTGTGGATTGTGAAGAAACAAGGAAATGGATCCTAGAAAAAACCAAAGTCATTGAATCCACCCAGGACCTTGGTAAAAATTTGGCAGGCATGATTGCTATGCAGAGGAAGTTGTATGGCATTGAACGTGACCTAGCAGCCATTCAGGCCCGCCTTGCAACTCTACAGAAAGAAGCACATCGACTTGCTGAAGAACAGCCCGACTTAGCTGATGATGTCTACAGTCGATTGACAGCTGTCACTGGAGTCTGGCTGGACCTTCAGAACACGCTGCAGAGTCAAGAGGCCTCCCTTGGAGAGGCCAGCAAGTTGCACAAGTTTTTGCAGGACTTAGATGACTTCCAGGCATGGCTGTTTAAGGCACAAAAAGCTGTTGCTTCAGAAGAGGTGCCCAATTCCTTGGTAGAAGCCGAACACCTCCTGCATCAGCACACTGCTGTTAAAGAAGAGATTGATCAACATAGGGATGATTATTGCAGTGTCAAAGATATAGGAACCAGAGTGACTCAAGGGCAAACAGATGTGGAATATCAGCAACTGGAGCAACGGCTCCAGGGGATGGATACAGGCTGGAATGCCTTGTGTAAAATGTGGGATAGCAGGGAGAAATTCCTCAACCAGTGCCTTGGTTTCCAGGAATTTCTTAAAGACGCAAAGCAAGCAGAAATTGTCCTTACTAACCAGGTATGGTTGCAGCATGAACTTTCTTGTAATCTTTCTGCATTTTAAATTAGTGTCTCAAAAATTGCTTGGGTGCTGTAGGTGTTGTTTCATAGAAAAACGGTGTTTTCAGGTTGGCAGCATATCTTGAATGTTTACATAGATATCACCTAGCACATAGCAGCCACATAAAAAAGCTTGTCCATAATAATGCCGTAGTTAGGTTGTGCTAGCTGTGGACACTGAGTTCAAGATACAGAATTTGACTTTCAGCATACACTGAAGTAACACAGAGAAAAAATATACCGAAGGCCAAATTGTGGCAGCAGATGTGTACAGCCAGCTTACTATCATATCAAAACATTTCAGGTGCTTTTTTCTTAAGTGCCATGTGGTGACTGTAATTTAACCTGAGCTGGAGTTGAAAGTAGGCCTCACAGATATATTTACAGTGAAAGCACTGTTGTTGTTTTAAAAAACAGGCTAAGTCATATTCCAAAGTCATCTGTATGTTTCCTTTCCTAACATCCGCTTTAGGAATATACTCTGGCTCACATCGAGCCCCCGGACACCTTGGAAGCATCCGAAGCTTCTATCCGAAAATATGAAGATTTTCTTGCTACAATGGAAGCTAATGAAGAAAAAATTACTGGGTTGGTCAACAGTGGGAACAAGCTTGTGTTGGAAGGAAATATTTACTCTGATAAAATTAAAGAAAAAGTTCATCTGATACAAGAGAGGTAATATTACTAGAGCCATTTCAATGGGGACAGTACAAGAGGAAAAAAGTGTGTGTGGGAGAAATAGTTAAGCTTATCCTCAGATAATTCAACAATGCAATTACCTGAGTGTTCATTCTGTACTAGTAATTGTCCCAATCAAGGTATTATGAGGGAAAACTAGAAAAAATATCTCTGAACTATAGTTGTCTTGTCCTTTTCTCCCTATGACATATTAAAAGGGTATTTAATGATAACTCTGGGTCGTAGCAATGGAAATGTACATCCAATAGTTCTGGATTTTCTTTTCCAAACTCTGAAATATGGCCTTCTGGATGAGGAATCCAGTGTAGCTCAGAAAGGAATGGAGGGGGCAGTCTACTACCTGTATCTTACTGTGTCCTTTTTGCCTTGTATTGCTTACTCTGCGTTTCCTCCCTTTGAATGTATCTCTGCTTGAGATACAAATGCATACACCTTCTACATGCAACTACACACACAAACACACACACACACACACAACGATTGAGAGGGAGACAGAGAGAAAGAATGTGTTCTTTTTTTAAAACCTTCCTTCTCAAATAATGTGTTCTGATACTTTTTGATCTGCTGGAACAACCATGTGCTTGTCTTATTTGTCATTTCTAGATACAAAACAAATGTCACAAAATCTCAGGAGGTGTTTGTTTTGCTGAAGGACAATCATGACCTGCGAAATTTCTTGAGGAATTGTCAGGAGGTAAGGATTCTGAACCAGTAACTGTTACTAATATCCTGTGTGTCTTTGTTCCAAGAGTGCTTACAACTTTGGTACATATTCAAAGCAGATATTAAATACAATTTTTCTTACCGCATCACAGGTTTCTTGTATAACACTTACTTCTAGCTTACTGTTTTATTCATGGTCTCAATTCATTTAATATAATAGTATAATTTTAAAATTAGGTTTTTTAAAGGAAGGCGAAATGATAAAATCTAGTTTTCTTCTATGTTTAGCATTTTGTGCCATCCTCTCTATTCTTCATATTTAAATCCAATTAAGCTATTGTAGTATTAAACTGATGCATGTCAACATCAATGTACTCAATGAGGGCAAACTAATTGAACCTTAATCTCAAGAAGACAGAGGTGCTCCTGGTCATTCAAAAGTCAGATTGGGGAATAGAGGTTGAATTTGCACTAGATGGGGTTCACGGCTTGGGAGTATTTCTGGACTTAGTCTTAAAACTGGATGCACAGATTTCAGTAGAAGTCAAACATGCATTATCATAAAGCTTATATGCTTTTTAAAAAAAAAAATCTTCAGATTTGACCGTGGGAATGCATGTGTTGGTTTCGGTTTGTATTGCTACAATGCAGTCTGTATGAGGCTGCCATTAAAAAGTGTTTTGAAGCTTCGGTTGGTCCAAAGAGTTGCAAACATGTTGTTAACTAAGGCCGACTACAGGGAGTATACATCACCCTTGCTGAAAATCTCCCCTGGCTCCAGTACTAGTTGAAACTTTCTATTATGAATAGTTGCAGTTTCCACTATGGTTCTCTATGCTTTGAGAGCATTTCCAATATACAACTCTAAGTATTTTTGAAGGACAGCAAAGTAGTAGGATTGCAAGGGGGAGAATTACAATGGAACGATGCAGAGTACTAGCAAGAGCAGTATAGAACTCATGTTCACCAGTATGTCATTTGCTAGCATTTTCTTTGTAGCTTACTGTGTGGATTGAAGAAAAGATGCTAACTGCACAAGACATATCCTATGATGAAGCTCGGAATTTGCACAGCAAATGGCTGAAGCACCAAGCTTTTATGGCAGAACTTGCCTCTAACCAAGCATGGCTAGATAAAGTAGATGAGGTAAGTGGCTTCTTGCAAGATTTGGCATCATAGCTTGGCATCTTTCTTGGCTTTCTCCTGTTCTTACATCTGTGTGCCTCTTGATGATTTAGGACTGAGATTTTTGTGAAAGATTTAATGACAGTTACCACTGTCCTCATTCTTGGAACATTATTAATGAAAAATAGTTGCATTCCTAAAGTGTGATTGCAAAAAAGAAAGAACACAACAGAAGATGTAAAGAGAAAAAGGAAAGAAAAAAAAGAGGGATGGAAAATAACTAGAATATGAGCAAGGGCTTGACATGTAAATTAATATAAGCTGACCAAATTTCTAAAAACACATTTTCTTAAAATTGACATTTATAAAGTGTATATTCATCCATTAAGAGCCTCTGGTGACACAGCGGGTTAAGCCGCTGAGCTGCTGAACTTGCTAACCAAAAGGTCGGAGGTTCAAATCTGGGTAGCAGGGTGAGCTCCCACTGTTAGCCCCAGCTTCTGCCAACCTAGCAGTTTGAAAACATGCAAATGTGAGTGGATCAATAGGTACTGCTTCGGCAGGAAGGTAACAGTGTTCCATGCACTTATGCCAGCCACATGACCTTGGAGGTTTCTACGAACAACACCAACAATTTGACTTAGAAATAGAGATGAGCACCACGACCCACAGTAAACTGGCTGGGATTTCTGGGAGTTGTAGGACAAAACACCTCTACATTGAATACAAAGCTAGTGCAGTTTATATAGATCAATGATCAACATGCGTGATTGGCTACTTATTATACAATTATAATGCACACTATATAGAAACATTGCACATTCACATTCTGCTCTGTGTACTTTGGTGTGTTAGTGCGTTTACAACAGTTCAAAACACAAACCTCTCCTTTACATTGCTGCCTACTGGATTTGAGCTTGCGCATTGTTTAGAAAATCAGTGCATGTGTAGTGTATTTTACTCCTGTATCTCTTATTCCTGGGATGTAATCCACGATGCATTAAAAAGCTTCTGAAAGTATGATTAAAATTGAAGGTGAAGAGTCGACTTCCAACGCGTTTCTTTCTTTTTTTTCTTTGGGAGAAAATAAGCATGCTTCGAGTTGGAGGTTTCCCAGCAGTACCATTTAAAAGATACTATGCAGCTGTTACATCTTTTCTTAATGGATTTTTAGGAATAGACAAAAGATGTAGCAAAGGGTAGCTAAATACTGGAAGATTACAAATGGAAGACCATGTTGTCTGCCATCTTCTCGAGTATTCCCTGAATGAGGTAAAGTGATTGCACAACAAAAGCCCCATCTGGAAGTACCTGAGTTGTTATATCGCAGATAGACTTCCTATTTCTGTTTTGCTCTAGATAAAAGCAGGCACATGAGGTTATCCTTTGGAAATGAGGAGCAGAAGAGGAAATGAAGAAGCTGCTTGAACCCTTTTTCTTCAACCCGCTCCTTCTAAAATGCACCTTGTGCCCCTTGAGTGGAAAAGAAGCCAGCAATTTTTAATAAAAAATAGCCAAAGGGGAAAAGAGAAAGCAGTGTTTTTCCCTCCCTTTGACCCTTTCAGACTTTCTCAACTCAAACAAGGCAGACTTTTATGGCTAATGTTCACTTAAAAGGGAGCAAAGGGAGCTTTCATGTTCATCTTGTATATGAAATTGGGTTTGGTGTTTAACAGCTTAGTTGCTGACATTATAATTTTCTCTTGTTTTACTGTGCTCTCCTCAAAGATGTACCCCAGTAGTTTATCCAGTAATTCACTAAAGGCATATAAAGTAATATAATATAATAATAATAACTTTATTTTTATACCCTGCCAACCATCTCCCCAAGGGGACTCGGGGCGGCTTACAAGGGACAAGCCCAAAAATTACAAATAGAACACAATCAATTAAAAACATCAGATAAAATATAAAAACAATCACAATTGTAAACAACGTCAAAATAATATAGCTGAGAAAGAACATAATGATGTGAGAGATTGCAGTTCTGTATAAGAGCATCTCGGGGCTGCTTACATGGGTCAAGTCCAAAAATACAGATTAAAACACACACAAAATGCAATAAAACAACTAAAATCAACAGCGAGCAACATAAAAACATTACAATCACAATACACATTTTAAAAACAGTATCATGGCTGAAAAACAGAACATGGCTGAGTGCGGAGGGATCAGAGAATGTTCATGGACTTGACCGCATCAACTAGAGCATGGATCCACTTTAAATCTGGTTTCTTCCTCCTGCAGCATTCTGGGGCTTGTAGTTTAGGGGAGGAGCCTTTAAAATGTTCAGGCAGGCAGATCCTAGGTCTCCCTAAACTACAAACTCGACAATGCTGCAGGAGGCAGCAACCGGATTTAAAGTGGATCCATTCTCTAGTGTGATGAGATGCTATTAAACAAGTTTTGAATACTTTCCTCAATTTGTTCTGGTGACTTCAGAGTGAATTTCAATGTATAGTTGGGACAAAATGTTTCATGGAAAACACATAAATATAAATATAGATGTTTAAAATATTTGTATGGTAGGAAGTTTCTTTTAAACTTTGTAAGCCATCTTGAATCCCAGATTGGGTAAAAGGCCAGATTGGGCTGACAAGATTGGGTAATCTTGTCAGCACCGATTGTGTTTAAGTGCAGGCCAAGGTGTTTAGGCACTGCACCCAGGCACCATTGGGACCACCTTTACTGGCTTGTGTCAGAGTCTTTGCAATTTGATTTTTAAATCCTCAATAATAATAATAATAATAATAATAATAATAATAATAATAATAATAATTATTATTATTATTATTATTATTATTATTATTATTGAGGATTTAAAAATCAAATTGCAAAGACTCTGACACAAGCCAGTAAAGGTGGTCCCAATGGTGCCTGGGTGCAGTGCCTAAACACCTTGGCCTGCACTTAAACACAATCGGTGCTGACAAGATTATCATCTACCAGCTGCAAAAGGCCACCTTACTGGGATCTGCATGCATTATTCACCGATACATCACACAGTCCTAGACACTTGTGATGTGTGCTCCAATCCAGCAGCAGCAGAGTAATCTTGTTTGCTGTGAACTCATATTGTTGTGTTTCAAATAATAGAAGAAGAAGAAGAGAAGAAGAAGAGTAACAATTGCAGCAATAGCAGTGAGCAGCCTTATTCTGTCCTTAGCTCTCTACCAGGCATGATTACATTGCCCAACTACTTTGAGCTCAGCAGTTTGGTTCACTAGAACTCCACTTTAACTGTATGTTTTCTAGAAGAATGAATTGTCTTTCTCCTTGGCTGTTCATGGATCTGACAAATGATTCTGTGACTCCACAATCTCTTATCTCTTTTTTTTTCTAGGAAGGGCAGCAGCTGGCAGAGCAGAAGCCCCAGTATGAAGCTATTGTTGGCCGAAGGCTAGCAGACCTACACGAACTGTGGGATAAGCTGCAGGCCACAACAGAGGAGAAGGCCCAGCACCTGTTTGATGCCAACCGCTCTGACCTTTACGCGCAGAGCTATGCTGACCTTGGTGCATGGATCAGTGAGATGGAGCAGCAGCTGAAATCTGATGCCCAGGGTAAAGATCTCACTAGTGTCAACATCCTGTTGAAGAACCTGAAAGTAAGTAAGTCCTGAAACTGTCTTTCCTGCCTCAAATCAATAGCCTATTGGCAGGAACCTTCATGACACTATCAGGTGCTGTTCTCTGTGAGGGAGTGATCTGAAGTGGTCAAATTAGTGATGGTTTGCTATAGCCTCATAAAATTAGAGGAAATTGTGCTCATCAGTTCCTCTCTATGGTGAAAGGCATGAAGTCCTCCAGCATCTTAAGGATTATCCATGCCCTCCCTTTTTTTTCTGATACAGTGAATGAACTCCTTTATTTCATGGGATTCAGATACCTTTTTGTCAAGGTATCTGAATCCTATGAAAGTACTTCTTTTATGATAATGTGTGTTTCCTTAGCACTTGCATCTGCTTTCTGTAAATGTCAATACATAGAGAATTATAAATTAATTGCAGTACCAATAATTGTTGCGTTGAATGTCAACACATAGAGAATTATAAACGAGAGCTGTTCAGCAGTGGAACTCTCTGCCCTGGAGTGTGGTAGAGACTCTTTTTTTTTTGAGGCTTTTAAACAGAGGCTTGATGGCCATCTGTCGGGGGTGCTTTGAATGTGGTTTTCCTGCTTCTTGGCAGGGAGTTGGACTGGGAGGCCCATGAGGTCTCTTCCAACTCTATGATTCTATGAGTCTACGATTCTATGAATATAGTTGCTCACATGTGTATTTTAGTGTAATGTTTTCCTCTTAGCATTACCCTGTGATATTAATAGTGATGAGTAACAAGAGATCCCATATACAATGCTTGAGCCATACCGAATATTTTTTAAAAGGTTATACAACTACTGATTTAAAATTTTCTTTAAATTATCACATAATCAATGAAATCTGTATACATTCTCAGCACTGGTTGTCCATCCAATTTCCCCCCAAAGTATCTCTATAAACAGAATATCAGATTTCTATTGGATCCTTCTTAAGAGTCCCTATCCTCCACTTCAGCATAGTGTAAACACTGATATCTGTTTCCAAACTCTTTCCTTCTGTGCTGCTCTCATGAGATCACTTTTTAATAAAGCATCTCATGAGAAGCAAACATTGTACCTGTAGGGATCCTCAGACTGAGTTATTGTATCCCTTGTAGAAGATGTAAGAGATGTGAAAAATTAAGAGACTAATAGAGATAAAACTTGATGAAACAGACTGGCAGGGTCATCCTCAGCAACATGGAAGTATATGAGTAAAGAAGTTGCAACTAGTAAAAAGGTAGAGGACCTGTGTAACACTTACTTTTGTAGAGAGAAATCTTTTATGATAGGTTGGGTGGAAATTTGTGTGATCTGTGAACTGTGAAATTTGTGTGATCTGTAAGTGTGTCAAAAAAGTTTAGGAAGGTATAAAGAAGCATATTTTAATAGCATTGAAAATATAGTTATAAAACAGATGTGGGCTCTTTGCAAGGGGCAAAAGGAGGTATCTGCATATAGAAATCCTCTGTTAGTAATGCTTCTACTTTTTGAGTCTAAATATTTAACTTTAACAGACTCTCCATCTTCTTGCTGACTCTCATATAGACCCATCAAATTTAATTTATTGTATATCCAATTCATCCTAAACTAAAAGAGCATTCATGAACACTGTTCTCATAATGAGGAGTAACCTGCGGCTGATCCATCCGGTCTGTCCTGCCTCAGGATGAAATAAAAGTTTAATGCCCTGATACCTGGGAATGGCAAAGAATAGAAAGATTTGAACAACATTGTGACCAAATCAATTTCCTGTGAGTCAAGTAGATTATGATTTTTTTTAAAATGGTTGCCTAACTAGAGATCCTCTCATTTCAGCGACTGGAGGAACAAGTAAGTGTGAGAAAGAAAGAAATGGAGGATTTGTTAAGCCAGGCACCACCCACTAGAGGAGACTTGCATGAAGTGGATGGCAAGCATGAGATCATTGAGAAGAGGTTCCAGGGTCTTCTGGAGCCACTGAGTAAGAAGAAGAAGGAACTGGAGGCAACTAAGGCTGGATATCAATTGGATCGGGATCTGGCGGATGAACTGGTGAGCTATGAAATCACCTAACTGTGATATTAACAAGTGTTAGAATTCTTCCCTAGTTACTATATACTATTATTCTTCATTCAGAAGGTGGTGGGAGCTTTGTAACAGCAAAACTGGTCCTCACAAATAAATAGGAAAAACAGGAGTAAGACCTTCTGTATTTTGGGCAATTATCTATCTAGCCTTGATTGGTTTTTCCTTCAATGTATAATAGTAATTCTTCTGTTTTCTAGCTCTGGGTACAAGAACGTCTCCCACTTGCTCAATCCACCGACCATGGCACAAACCTTCTGTCTGTACAGCTGCTCACAAAGAAAACGCAGGTAAGTCTGTATTTTATTTTCATTTAATGCTTCCTCCCACTTTTTTTGTGTGGTAGTGGTGCAGAACTCAGAAGAGGACAGGTCCTTCATTATGCGTAGCATGCCTAAAGTTGGGTGGGGTCTGTAGCATGGTTGTTAGCAAACACAATGGCTGTCTACTTACAAAACATGTGGAGTTCTCAGCTGCAGACCTTATTAAAGATACAGCTTTACCTTGCTTACTTTGTTTATAGCAGACTGAGTACTTTCCCCAACCTATGTGTTACAAACATATATAATCGAAGTCCATTCCATACTATATGCTAAAAGAAGGCTGTAATGCTTCATGAACTCACTAGGTCAATATAAAGCAGCTAATTCCTAAAGCTATTCGATGAACAACCTAAAAGAGATAGTGCAAAGTTGTTATCATTATATGCTTTACATTTCAATAAAAGTAACAACTCCATTTAAACGTATTTCTGATCTTTCAAATTCCTTTCAAAGTGACTTTCTGTTCTTTCCTAGACATTACAGAAAGAAATTGCTGGTCATGCTCCACGCATTGAGGAAGTCCTTCTTAGAGGGGAAGGCATGCTGGCTGGAGCAGATAGGGATGAGGACTTCAAGGACACCGAAGAGCGCCTTAGGCAGCTGAAGGAGTCTTGGAGTATTTTACAAGAGGAAACTCTACAGAGATTGCACCGTATGGAAGAAGCAAGTGAGGCTCAGAGATATTATTTAGACGCTGGGGAAGCAGAAGCCTGGATAAGTGAGCAGGAGCTATACATGGTGACCGATGAAAAGCCAAAGGTAAGGGCACTTGGCTTGTTAATAAAGCAACATCACATTTGATGTACCAGGAGGACTATTCTCAAGGGAAGTTTGCTTCAGGGGGAAATGGATGTCAGACCAGTAGCTGGTCTAGAAGCAGACTCTGGTTGTACTCAGGAACAGCTAATATCAATAGGCCTTAGGCCATTCTCTGAGTGGCAACCTGAGCACTCCACACTCATGGGTTTATCCCCTGTGTCAATATCTCAAAGCAAAATTCAATTGAAAACATTAACTCCAGTATCTGTTTACTGGTAGTAAACACATAGTAGTCTCACTTGTCTCTCCATTTTTTGTAGAGAGAGAGAAGCAGGGTGCGACTAGAATGGAATGGCGAGTATTACGTGGTGAAAGAAGCCCCATTTTAGGGGTTTGTTTCACAGCCTATTTATTTATTTATTTACGACATTTATATGCTCCCCTTCTCACCCTGAAGAGGATTCAGAGCAGCTTACAAGATATATATACATACAATATATTAAATTATTAGCATAGTACAATATCAGTATAAAATATTACTATATTGTACTATACCATGATATTATAATATTATTAGTAATATTACATGTAATATAAAATATATAATTATAACATGGTATTATTAGTATTATATTGTATTACATTATAATATTATACACACACAATATATTATATTATATTATATTATATTATATTATTAGTAAAGCACAGGAGACAAGATGGAACTGTCTTCAACTGTAGCCCCCTCTCTCTTCACTCTGGCCAGATCAGCATTGGTGTCGGGCAGGGGGGGGGGGGAGACGTCCCAACTGATGATATAGGCAGGAGACAAGATGGAACTGTGTTCTGCCCCCCTCTCTCTTAACACTAGCATAAGACTAGTCCCTGTGAAGGCGCAGCCGCCTATGTGGCTGCACCTTCAAAAAAAGCACTTGCACAGGCGGGTGACTCTTCAAAGTACAGCTGAGCTCAGAGAAACAAGTAAGTAAAGGTATGAAATCATGACCAGCTGTTTCAAATGCCATGTTGAAAAGATGGATTCTAGTCAAAAAGGGGAAATTCTAATTAGTTAGTCGTCATCCAGTAAGAGCACAAAAAATATCAATGCAAGGCAAAATTGGAAAGCACCATCATCACACGTAAGTGGAAGCCATGCATACCAATAATCTACCTCCAAGGGGCACAGAATTTGTTCTTCACATACTTACGGGCAGTAACGTCTGGAGCTCCACTTACAATTCCAACATATACACAGGTTCAATTGCAGTTTCAGCTGCAAGAGTTTTTACATCAGCAAGATCTAAATAAAGTGCCTTTAAGGAAGTCGCCTTTGGGTTGAGAAAGGCGGGATATAAATACTGTAAATAAATAAAATCAACAAATACTATCCAGTAGCCTCAGTCTGATGTATATGCAATGGAGAGTAGAATTCAGGAAATAACAGATAGGCAAATCAGAAAAAAAGATTTAAAGATTATAATTATTTATATAAAGCAAATGCTACTGGAACATTTAATAGGCATTATATGTTAAATAACCCTAATTTAAACCCTTTTAGAGATAACAATTTAAACATCAACTGATTTCCTAATTTAAATGGAGGAAATAATTTAAACGCTAATCCATTTTCTAACATTCAGATTTTAATAAAATACCTTTAAGTAATTTAATTGTTATAATTAATGTAATTCTTCAACAAACAATAGAGATAATTGGATCTTCAAGTGATTTAGGGAATAATGGTTTATAAAGCCTGTAAGCACTTCTGTCATGATAACTCAAAATCAACATGGGCTTTTCAGAAACAAATCATGTCAGACTATTCTTATTTTTTGTTTTGTTTTGTTTTAGTTACAAGCTTGTTAGGTGAAGGAAATGTTGTGGATGTAGCATACCTCAATTTCTGTAAAATCATTTTTAATGTCCCTCAAGGTATTCCTGAAAATAAACTAGTAAAATGTGGCCTCGACAATGCTAATGTTAGGTGAATTTGTAATTGGTTGACTGGACAAACCCAAAGGGTGCATCCCAGTGGCTTTCCTTCATCCTGGAGAGAAGTGACTAATGGGGTGCCACAGAGTTTTGTCCTGGCCCCAGTCCTTTTCTGCATCTTTATCAATAATGTAATGGATGATGCACTTTGGCTTGAGACTTGCTTCACTCTCTGCTCTATCCAACTCATTCCTTGTCTGTGAGAGAAGCAGTTAGGAGAGCAAGCTGCAATGTTCCATTCCAATTGGGTAGAAAGAATGGCTTTTATCAGTGCAGAATTTATAAAATAAACCTAGTCATAGCCCCTGTGTGTGTATTCAGAAACAAGTCTACTGAATTAAATAGACCTTTCTCTATCAGTGGTCCCCAGCCTGTGGGTCCCCAGATGTTTTGGCCTTCAACTCCCAGAAATCCTAACAGCTGGTAAACTGGCTGGGATTTCTGAGAGTTGTAGGCCAAAACACCTGGAAACCCATAGGTTGAGAACCACTGCTCTAGATAGATGTGCCTAGTGCAGAGGTTCTCAACCTGGGGTCCCCAGATGTTTTTGGCCTTCAACTCCCAGAAATCCTAACAGCTGCTAAACTGGCTGGGATTTCTGGGAATTGTAGGCCAAAAATATCTGGGAACCCCAGGTTGAGAACCACTGACCCAGGGTATCAGCTTCAATCTCCTTTGACCTCCATACTATGCTGTTCTAGCGTTGGCTCTGAAGTGTCCCATCAGTACTAAAACAGTTTTGTTGTCCCAGGATGAAGAGAGTGGTATTGTGATGCTGAAACGACATCTCCGCCAGCAACGATCCATAGATGACTATGGGAAAAGCATCAAGCAGCTGGCTGCCAGGGCTCAGAAACTGCTGTCTGCTGGCCACCCAGAAGGGTATGTCTGCTCAATATGCCTCATGCTGTAAACGTTGTGGAAGATAATATCCAGGAGATTTCAAAGGACTTGACCCATAGTTATTTGACTGGAGGGCTCTTTCACACCGTGCAATTATAGCACTGTGATTCTAACCTAACTTAATGCCTGTATCCTGTGGAATCATTGGATTGCAGATTGAGGCGGCACAAGAGCTGTCTGGCAAAGAATTCTAAAGATCCCTCCCAGGATACCTTTGGATGTTGCCATGACAGTTAAAGTGGAATCATATTGCTATAGCTGTGTAATACAAAGGGGTTCTGAGCCAAGATTAGCTAACTAGTGTCCCTTCCGCACAGCCATATAACCCAGAATATCAGGGCAGAAAATCCCACAATATCTGTTTTTAACTGGGTTATCTGAGTCCACATTGCCATATATTCCAGTTCAAAACAAAAGATGTGGGATTTTATTCAGCTGTGTGGAAGGGGCCTAGAAACCTAATCTATTTCGGATTGTGCACTACATTCCTTAGCAGGTGATGTATCAAAAATTCCTTTTATGTTTTTTTTCAGGGAGGAGATCATCCGGCTGCAGGGGCAAGTAGACAAACAGTATGCAGGCTTGAAGGATCTGGCTGAGGAACGCAGACGTAAGCTGGAGCACATGTGCCATCTATTCAAGCTGAAACGAGAAGTTGATGATCTGGAGCAGTGGATTGCAGAGAGAGATGTAGTGGCCTCATCCCCAGAAATGGGGCAAGATCTCGACCATGTCACTGTGAGCAAGCACTGTGGGAATGAATGTGTCAATCTATCAAGGCCATTCTTAGTTCCCATCCAAGTCTGAGGTGTGATTTCAGTGTAGGGGGATATGGTACGATGTGTATGAGGACCTGAGGTTGGTGCATTGTGTCACTTGACTACACAGCATCCAGAAGTGATTTGGGAGGAAATTGTTGTAAGGAGACAGAATGCATTAAAAAACGACTTAGTACAGGGAAATCTTCAGGTTGTTGCTGAGGAGATAATGTTAAGGAGTTTCCAAAATGTATCCATGTTTGTCTACTGTGGAAAGACAGAGAGTCTTGTATTATCATATTATTTGTTTGCATTTCTTTTTATAGCAAGCAAGCAAGTATAGAATTCCATTACTTTGTATAGCTTTGTAGAAAAAACACATTGGTGGGGCTGACTTTTTAAGTCCCGTATGGCATGCTATATAAACAAAAATGTTTTTTTCTATACAGTTGAAAGACTTAGGAGCCCTGTCATTGTCATTCAGGTATATGGAATACACTTTTTTTTTAAAAAAAAAAAGTGGGTCCTGTCCTGCCATTTAGAATTAGGGGTGGGTCCTGAGTAAATTGATGTTCTCTAGTGAATATAGTTTATGACATAACACGTGGCAGAAACTACGTATCTCTTGTTGAACAGGATGAACATTCATGAGATGCTCATATTCCCTTTGGTTTATTTCTCGGCCAGGTGCTGCGAGAGAAGTTCCGTGACTTTGCTCGGGAAACAGGAAGCATCGGGCAGGAGCGGGTGGACAGTGTCAATCTCATCATTGAACAGCTGATTGACGTTGGCCACCCGGAGGCTGCCACGATTGCAGAATGGAAAGACAGTCTGAATGAGAGCTGGGCAGACCTGTTGGAACTGATTGATACCAGGATGCAGTTGCTGGCTGCCTCCTTTGACTTGCACAAGTTCTTCTACGATGGTGGTGAGATCCTGGTTCTTATTGAGGAGAAGCACAAGGAGTTACCTGAGGAATTAGGCCGAGATGTCAGCACAGCTGAATCTTTCCACAGGATGCACACAGCTTTTGAGCGAGATATCCATTTATTGGGAACGCAGGTAACTACCTCCTTTTGAAAGGCATGGAGCAACACATGGCAGAACAAGTTCCAATATGTTGCTTCCATGGGCTATAAGAAATAAATTTGTGAGAACACTTGAGACATCTCTATGGAAGAAGGGAATTGATTTGTGTTGTCATTATGTAAGATTTCAGATGAAGGCGAATTGAGACAATAAGAACCATCTGAATGTTGCTTTGCAGAGCTGACTTTTTGCTTGCAATATTTTTAAATATTTGAAATTAATTTTTGCCAATTTCTATAGGATTCAGACTTTTCTCCTTAATATGCATGCCACCCTGAGTCCCCCTGCAGGGACAAAGAAGGGTGGGGTACAAATGTCTGAAATAAATAATTCAATAAATAATAATTTTGGTGGTCAGATCTAATCTTTTCTTTAGTCAATGAAATCAAATACTTATCTTCCCATTTTAAAAGTAGGAAACTGCCAGGATATCCAGACTTGGTTTATGAGGTATCTGAACCCATGTCCAGAGTTCCCTTAAGACCTATTCCCAGGCCTTGATATCAAGCCCTCTCTTCTCTGGGTGGTTGCAGGTCCAGCATTTCCAGGAGGTAGCAGCACGCCTGCAGGCAGCCTATGCAGGAGAGCAGGCAGTCGTTATCCAGAAGCAGGAGCATGAGGTGGTGAAGGCCTGGAAGGCGTTGCTTCATGCCTGTGAGGGACGGCGGGGCCAGCTGGTTGATACCGCAGAAAAGTTCCGCTTCTTCAGCATGGTCCGTGACCTCATATCTTGGATGGAGAGTGTCATCCGTCAGATTGAAACACAAGAGAAACCAAGGTATCAGGATGGAATTAAACCAAAATTTATTATTTTGTTCATTTGTTTTGCAAGGACTACAGAAAAACCATCTACAATTCTTGGCATGCCAAGTGAAGCCACAAGAATTATTTCAGTTCTTATATATTTAAAACTTCTGTTAAGTGTTTAACAGAGGTTTTGAAAATATAAACCTCTGTTAAGTGTAAGGCCCCTGGTGGTGCAGTGGGTTAAACCGCTGAGCTGCTGAGCTTGTTGACCGAAAGGTCGCAGGTTCGAATCCGGGGAGTCGCACGAGGTTCTGCTGTTTGCCCCAGCTTCTGTAGTTTGAAAGCATGCAAATGTGAGTACATCAATAGGTTCCACTCTGGCAGGAAGGTAACAGCGCTCCATATAGTCATGCTGGCCACATGACCTTGGAGGTGTCTATGGACAATGCTGGCTATTTGGCTTAGAAATGGAGATGAGCACCAACCCCCAGAGTCGGATACAACTGGACTTAATGTCAGGGGAAAACCTTTACCTTTACTACCTGTTAAGTGTGGCTTCCAAGAAGCTATAAGTCAGTGGCTTGTAATTTCCACTGGTTCAGCCAGATAAGCTGTTACCTTCATTTGAGTGGAACGTTGAAAATACTTTTTAATGTAATACATAACATGAAAAGTAATCCTGGATTTTCCAGCAGTGGGTTGTGCTTCCTGGGAATTACTTTGTGTTAGAAATTGTCTCCTGCTTATTTCTCAATTATGTTCCCATTTAAGGGATGTTTCATCTGTGGAACTACTAATGAAATACCACCAGAGCATAAAGTCTGAGATAGACACTAGGGATAAAAGTTTCATCACCTGCATTGATCTTGGCAAAGCACTGCTGCATCGCAAACACCATGCTGCATCCGAGGTAAGAATTTCCCAGTACAATGTTTACATGGAAGAGACTGTACTATGTGCTAATATGCAATCCTCCCAATCAAGATTCTCAGAAATGCAAACAGTGAACATAACTGACTGAAACTACAGTGTTTAATACCTCGGCCCTAAATGTATTTTCTCACCTGTTCTGCAATTTGCACAGGTTTAAGCAATAGCCTTTGGGAAAGGTGGGTAAATGTTAGAGCTCTATATGGGTCTCCCAAAGTGCAGATGCTATCACCCTCTTCATAACAATCATCTTTATTCCAAGATGTTTGAAGAAGTGCTGAATACTAGTGTTTCAATCCCTCCAGTGTAGCAATGCTGGGCCAGGATACCCAGACTAGTGCAGGTGGTAGTGCTTCTCCATTGTTGACTACTACCATCGCTGCTATTGCTGCCTGTTAATGGTACAGCAAGTAGCAGATGATGAAAATTAATGTCCTTGCTGCCTTGGCATCTACAGAAACAACTTCTTTAGGTACAGGTCTTTCCTCTCATTTGAAGTTCAAGGTCTGATTTATAGGACCTATGTGTGACTTACACAACCTAGGTCCAGACATTGAATATTCTCTCCACTTGTTGCTCGGCTCTTGTAGTCCACCTTTGAAGAGTTTTCCTTCCAGAAAGGGAGTTAACATAAGTTGAAGAAAAGTGTCTGTGTAGAGGGTTTGCTGAAAGGAGGGAAACCATGGGCAAGTAGTAGGGTTCAGACCTCCTATTTCTTTACTTTTTCAATCCTTTAAGTTGCTTTCTTCACCTTACATGTGAAGGGTGTGGGCTCATTTTAAAAAAAAACATGGATGCTGCTCATTGTCTTTTTGGCTGACCCTTTGCCCATGTATGGTCAGTTTGATTGTTCATGATTACACCTATTTTCTGTGGGGGTTTAATAAATATATTTTTATACTAGTCATCCCCTGCCACAAGTTGCTGTGGCCCAGTCTGTGTATATGTGTTTTGTTTGTGTATATGCGTATGTATGTGTTTGCGTATGATGTATGTGGCTTTGCACATGCGTTGTAATGTAAATTTTGTTTTTTGGCTTTTTAAGTCCCTTCCCCTGTGTTTTTTAGTGTTTTTTTTTAGGAGTGATTGTCACTCATTGGCCTGATAGGTGTATTCTGTCCAAATTTGTTGTCAATTCATCCAGTGGTTTTTGAGTTATGTTAATCCCAAAAACAAACATTATATTTTTATTTATATAGATTAACGTTTATATTAATATGTTTTTAACTCCATGTTTTGATGTCTAAATGTTGTTACATTTTTATGATCTAATTGATAGTTATATGTTATTATATGTTATTGTTGTTTGTTAGGTTTCATATGTATTTGAGCCATTAAATTTGGCCATAAATACGTTGGAAACCACTGGGTTGAGGGAAGTGGTATACATTTTTTGATATGTCACATTTATTGGCCACATTTCAATGCAGAAAAAAATCCAGTAGATTCCAGTGTCTTGTCTTATGGCTATTGTAATGTTTTAGTGGCATTGGATTTTCCTTTTCTGCAGTGAAAGTGGAATTCCATATATGTAGTACAAATAACATACCTTTGGAAAATTAGTATGTTGACCAAACTATGAAACCAGTGGCAAAAAAATGAAAGAAATGCTACCTTCTGCTCTCTTTTTAGATAAAAGAGAAGCTGATGCAACTGACAGAGAAGAGGAGAGAGATGTTGGAGAAATGGGACAGGCGTTGGGACTGGCTTCGCTTGTGTGAGTATTACCCAAAGTCTTCGCCAGCTGGGGTAATCTGATTGGGGGTTTTCTTTGTGTAGCTGGAGATCTAGGAATGTAGTAATTGCAGGCAAAAACACCCATCCTGAATCTTTCTCCTGTTTAAATTGTTTGTCCTCAGTTTCAAACAGCTTTGGCTTTCTTCTGTATTGATTTTAGCAGTGATTTCCCCCCCAGTTTGGTACTCTGTGAGTAGATTTCTCCTGGATGTTTGAAATCTGTTGCTATTCGCCTTGCGAAATTCGAAGGGCGGAAGTGGTCCGAGATCATATGGCTTTTAAATCCTGAGTGGCAAAAGAGAATATGATGGTATTTTGTTAGAGTACTAACAGTAGGGCACTATTATGGCCTCGTGTTTATTTACATCTGGTCAACTTCATTGTTGAAGTTATCACTTCACTATTTGGATCAGAAAACTTAACAGTAGCACTTGAATCTTAGGTGGCTCCTGCACTGCTTGCCCTTCAGCTACAGGTTGTAAATGTGTGTAACACGGGACTTCTGTTCTGTTTTGTTGTTTCCTTCCCAAAGTGCTAGAGGTATGTCAGTTTTCCCGGGATGCCTCAGTGGCCGAGGCCTGGCTCATTGCCCAGGAGCCCTATCTGTCCAGCGGTGATTATGGGCAAACTGTGGATGGTGTGGAGAAACTGCTGAAAAGACATGAAGCATTTGAGAAATCTACCGCTACATGGGAGGAACGTTTTTCTGCACTGGAGCGCCTAACCACAGTAAGGAATCTATGGACAGAACAGCCTGTCAGCACTTCACGGGCACCGTATTTTATCCAAAGTGGGCATTGTTGCCAAAGCTATAGGGACTGCAATTGTTTTGAAGCTTATTTTTTATTTCTTAGGTTTTTCATAAGACTGTTCCCAAATCTTTCAGAATATTGTTCTGATTTTTCTTCTTCATTTTGATATATGCCGGGAAGCATATTTGGTTCTGTGGTATTGCAGCATCCTGACCCTCTTGAGTGCTTTTTTAGTCACAGTAGTATCATATGCAAACCAAGCAATATGTCAGTGGAAAATGAGAGATCAGAGTCAAATTAAGAGGGATTGTGTAGAAGAATGGGAATAATCCACAAAGACTTGGAGGAATGGAATTCAGTCAGCCCTCCACATTCGCTGGAGTTAGGGGCACAGGACCCCTCTGAAAAACCACCAATAAAAAAAGGCTATTTTTAACCAGAGAGAGCAATAGGTGTTCCTGATTCCCCAAACAATACATAATCATTTCTTTTCTCGTCAGCTTGAATTACTAGGGAAGAGAAAGATTCCAGAAGAGTCTTCGCAGCACAAAGTACCTAGGACCACAGACCTGGAGTTTGACTTTGAACTAGAGCCAGAATATGAGACGGGGTAGGTTGCATGCAAACTGCATTCAGATCATAGTCTTCCCATGACTGTAGCCAGAATTAGCAGCAATAGTGTTAAATGTTTTACATTCTAAGGTGTGAAATTTTTTTTACAGCTCAGTCAATGAGTAAAAACAGCTACAATATCTAACTGTTGTGTACATTTAGTATCATTGCTGATAATAAAGATGCAAATATATTCAATATTATCCCTTCATGTCTCTGTACCATGTGATATTTCTTGTATCCTCAATCCTTTCCTCCTTATTTGAGAGTTAAAGCCTTGAGGATGTAATCATTGTGGCCATGGATTGAAAATTATAACCAACTGATTGCCTTTTTATTTGGTGTCACTTGTCTTGTCGTGTTTTAACTTTTCCATATACCAGTTCCTTTACCTCTATTTTCAGAGTTCAGAAAAAGGGAATCCCAGGATCCTGGTGGTAGAAGCAGTATTAGTTAAATACAAAAAAAGTAACAATGAGAATTTAGCTGTAATCTAAAGAAGGTGATGGTATTTCTTTGTTTTCCAATTTTTGGTTACATGGAATCCTGAGGTTTGGGTGGTGTTTTCTAAACTAACTAAAGGTTGTTACAGCAAACAATCTTCTGGTACCCTACAGACAGTGATTTCAACAACAGGTGATTTCTGTCCTGTCAAAGGCTTTCATGGCCAGAATCACTGGGTTGCTGTGAGTTTTCCAGGCTGTATGGCCATGACCCAAAAGCATTATCTCCTGATGTTTTGTCCACATCTATGGGAAGCATTCCCAGAGGTTGTGGGGTATGTTGGAAACTAGACAAGTGGGGTTTATATATCTGTGGAAGGTCCAGGGTGGGAGAAAGAACTCTTGTCTGTTTGAGGCAAGTGTGAATGTTGCAATTGATGACTTTGATTAGCATTGGATAGCCTTTCAGCTTCAAAGCCTGGCTGTTTCCTCCCTGGGGGAATCCTTTGTTGGGAGGTGTTATGGCCCAGATTGTTTCTTGTCTAGAATTCCCCTGATTTGAGTTTTTAATCCTGGTAGCCAGATTTTTTTTATACTGGTAGCCAGATTTCCACAGATATATAAACCCCATTTGCCTAGTTTCCAACAGACTTCACAAACTTTGAGGATGACTGCCATAGATGTGGGCAAAACATCAGGAGCGAATGCTTCTGGAACATAGCCATACAGCCCGCAAACCAGATTTCTGTCCCATCTGACTGCAAAACCAGATTTCTGTCCTGTCTGACTACCAACTTCTATTTGAGCAAAATGAAGAAGAACAGAATAAAAATTCAAATGTTGCCCTCTTGTGGTTTCAGACATTTTTTTATTATTTTCATGACACAGTTAGATCCCTAGTGCCTTTTAAAATCAGCTTTCTGGTGGGGAATTTTGTAAACTACGTTGGAAAGTTGCCCATTGTCCCAAACTGAGTTTAATTGTCTGGTAGTTCAGAGCTGACTGTTTCAGATTTTCTATGTATATTTAAACATTTTCACATGTTTTACTTTACTGAACTGTAAGTATTTAGCTCTTTTCTTGCTTTTTGCTTTAATAAAACATGCTTTTAAAAAATGGTTTAAAAGTCTTAAAAATAAAAGAGGCCTTGATTATTCTCTTTTTTCTCTTTTTGAAACTCGCTGAATTATATTTTCCTGTTTATTGTAGGCCTAAAGAAGAGGGTGAGAAGCCAGAACTCAGCTTGAAAGATGCCCTTTCCCATGCTGCAGAAGACTCTTCATTGGTCAGTTAATAGTGTTTGTTTTTCTTTCCAAATAGTATACAGTTATTTGGAACTTTAGAACAGGGATGGGAAACTTTTTGAGGGATACAGGCAGTACTGGGAGGTGGCTTGAAAGCTGCATATGCATTTGCCTTCATATATGCATGATCTTCTCCCCTCCTCTCCTCTCAGTAGCAACCCTGACTGATCTACATAATTAGGAAAAGGGAGAACTTTAAATCTCACCTTCCTTCCAGTGATTTTGAACAGGATCTCTGGATAGATGCAAGATTAAAGCCTTTCCATATTGTGGCGGTCTTTTGGAAGGAGAGGTTTTAATATCACCAACCTCTTCTCAGAAACCTGTAATGTCTGGATTAGAAGGGCTGTTGAAGTCACTCTTCTTGCATATTATTTTCTCAGCCATAGCAGGAGTGTTGGTACACTGGTAAGCCTGGCTGTACTGGGAAGAAAGGTTCTGGCAACTGATAGGTGGCCTGTTGGGAGCCCAGACACATTGGAGGAGATAGCTATTTGTTAGGGGTAATTTTCAAAAAGGAAAAAAAAATCTTAAATAAAGCAACAACAACAGCATTAGCAGCAGATCAGAAGCTTCTAGTGCCAGCAATAGAGCGATTGGGTTTCAGCAATTCAGGAGCAGAGTCAAACTTTAAAAGTTATCGAAGACTTTATTCAAAGAATTACATTTCTAGATAGGAAATTAAGGACTTAGCTATCTATCTATCTAACTATATGGAGACACCTTGTCTCTCTCCAGGCTCACAGGAGAAGATCAAAATGGAAGATTTAGGGGTTTACCATGTTCTCAGAAAAAGGTGTGTGCTCCCACTGACCATTTGGCTCTTAACCTGGAATAACCTACCAGATAGATATAAGGTAGCTTTTGGAAGCCTATTAGTGGCAGGGCAGAGGGCTGTAGGAATAATCACCCTTCATCCCTATTGTAATTGGCACTGAGAACTGGGTGCACACTGGTGCTGGCACTGGCCTCTTATGGCAGGCAAGATAGGTTGCCCTCCCTCTCCTTTGGTTTAGGTTGCTATCTTGCAGTCTTTTTTCAGTATTTTCCTCAAATCAAGAAAAAATGTTAGGGTATTTGGAGCAAATATATTGTAGGCAAAATATAAATTAGCAAAATTTATGTGGCCAAAACAAGGAAAGAGCAGGAGAAAGGGAAAAAATCTATAGTGGAAGAATTTCCATTTTCTATCCCCAGCTAAGGTCATGCTGGCAGGGCAGAGGATGCCTCCAGTGTGGGGTTTTCTTATTTGTTTTCAAAACTCCTTCCTGGCTTAGTTTCCATGCCACTTCTGCTGATCTTGCCATATGTCAAGAGAACCATAGCCCAAATCTTGTTTTTCAGTCTTTGAATTCATTGTCATCCCTTCTTTATGCTCCTTCCTCAATGAGACTTTATGTAAATACTACCTGCCATATATTTTACAAATTTACACATTATATGTGCCTGGAGTCAGTTGGATAAATTAAGTTGTATTGGGTTGTTGTAGGTTTTTCGGGCTGTATGGCCATGTTTAGAAGCATTCTCTCCTGATGTTTCACTTGCATCTATGGCAGGCATCTTCAGAGGTTGTGAGGATCACAACCTCTGAGGATGCTTGCCATAGAGGCAGATGAAAGGTCAGGAGATAAGGCTTCTAGAACATGGCCATACAGCCCATACAGCCCAAAAAACCTACAACAATCCAGTGATTCCAGCTATGAAAGCCTTTGACAATACATTAAGTTGCATTGTATATAATAACACCAGATTATTTGTTTTTGTGGAAGAGTTCTTTTGTTTACTGAAACCGTTTTTGTTAGTTGGGGATTCTGCTAATGGAAAATGAGTATCATTTTATCAGTTCCTGTTGCATCTTTCCATTCTATCTTCCACATGTTAAAGGGTGCAGCTAGATTCAACCTTTACCCTTTGTTCAAATTGGACCATTTAAGATGTATGTTAAAGCAAGAACGCCCCTTTAAGGTATTGGTAGAATTGGGGCATATTCAGTGTGACAGATAATAACAATAACAACAACAATATAATAATATAATCTTTACTTGTATTCCATCACATCTTCCCAAGAAGACTCGGAGCGACTCACAACAGATCCTTCAAGCTAATCTATAATCAGTTTAATTTGAAAACTGGGTTTTAGATTTTTTTGTTGTTGTCGTCGAGGTGACTCCTCATTTTCAGCAATGAACACCACCATCCTTATATATATCAGTAGAAAATAGTATCCAGTGGGTTTCCACGTATAGAGTGGGGAATACAATCTGATTGGTTCTTGTAAAATATATTATTTCTAAAGGTCAAGAATGTGAGGACAAATGAAGAGAAGAACACTCACACTTGTAGCTGAATCACTTATTATTTTCTCTGGATTAATTCCTGAGGCACTTTCCTCTTTACAGGCCTGATCCTGAGTTCTGTTTACAACCAAAGAAACTCTTCGAAGTGATTTTACTTAATCAAGCTGGAACAAATGAATGAATAATGCAGAGATATTCAGCAACCGGTCTTCCTGCTGTTCCTGTGGAATATTATCTGTTTTCTACCTACAGCTCTCATTGTCAACAATGTAAATGTTCATTGGAAGGTCTTCTGCTTCCAGAAGAGAGAGGTGTTATGTTTCGAACATTTAGAAGGATCATTTGTGTAGGGATTTGTATCAAACAGCACCTCAAAAACACTTTCCACACATGCTGGGGAAGCATTTTTCTTTTTCTTCCCCTTTTGCTGTGCCTTCTTAAGAAATCACATAAAGCCTTGTGTGCACTTACTGTAGAAAGCACGAATGAAACAGTCAGGAAGCTTTTCAGGCCACCATCCAGATTGCCTTAGAATCATAAGATCCCATTTGCATCCTACTGCAAGACTGGTGTATAAATTAAAATGTAGGTTTATGCTAACACATAAGGATGTGTTTTTTTCATGTCAGGAGTGACTTGAGAAACTGCAAGTCGCTTCTGGTGTGAGAGAATTGGCTGTCTGCAAGGACGTTGCCCTTGGGGACACCGAGATTTTTGATGTTTTACCATTCTTGTGGGAAGCTTCTCTCATGTTCACGCATGGGGAGCTGAAGCTGACAGAGGGAGCTCATTCACACTCTCCCCGAATTCGAACCTCCGACCTGTCGGTCTTCAGTCCTGCCGGCACAAGGGTTTAACCGAGGGCTCCAACGCATAATGATGAAGGCCAGTGTTACAGGTGATCCAGGAAACACAATTGGCTTTGACCTGGGTCTTCATGTAGTTTCATACCTGATGCAGCAAGTAGTTTGTGGAATCTGAGTGCCCTTACCATTGGCTATGTTATTGTGGGAGAGATCACATTTTGCACTTCCTGAAGGCTGTAATCTGGCACTTGGAAAAGAAACAGTGGATTCTGCTGACATTCCAGCATTATTGTTTCCAAGAACAGTGTAGCATGGAAAACGTGGCTGCTCCAAGAAGATGGAACATCAGTGTGTTCTGTTGTTTCCACTCCTATTGACAGATTCACATTTTTGATCTGTAAACTAGGGCAGTACAAGTTTTCTACTTCCTAGTTTACAAAAGATGTAGTAAAATAATGAAATGTCACCGCCTAATGTCCCCCCACCCCACTCCCATGTCATAATATCCTCATTCACACTATTATTCTGAATGGAATTATAATTGGTCTGTTAACGATAATTTATTAATGGGGTGATTATTAATAGAAGTTTAATCATCTTATTATTTGGGAAATTAACTGGGGACAAATTGATTGAAGATGAACTTGCCTAAATTATTTGGGTCAGCTGGAATCAGCAAGTAAATTAACTGAAATATTTATTTGATATTTAGTGATCTGGATGGAAATTAAGTAGCTTGACTTTTCTTCAGTGAAAATTAATTATATTTCAGCATGTCATTCTAAATTTTCAGTAATACATACAAATTACCAAATGCAGACTTGTAGTTTGCAGTTTGTAGTTTGTAACCCAGTCCAGATTTTGAGACATCTACCACTGCCATTTTTAAGTATAATGGAATGGACTTGCAGGGAAAATTGAGATCCTAAACACTACAAGATTGGATTCTTGGCTATATTGCAAACTTTCCTGGTGTGGCTTTTCCTGTAGGAAAAATGGAATTTTGTGCTTGTGAAAAAAAAGACTCATTGTTTGAGACTAGGGTTCAAAGTCCCACTCAACCATGAAATCCCATTGGGTAACCTTGGGCAAGTCGCATTCTCTCAGACTCCAAGGAAGGCAAAGACAAACCCAGTGGTAGGTTTACTTTAAGGTCCCGATAAGTCAGAAACAACTTGAAGGCACACCACAAAATAAAATAAGAAAAGGAGCCCAATTCAGGCATTCAGTAAACTTCCCATTATTCTTTGGGTTCTGGATCTGATGGAGAGCCTACAGCCTATAGTAGATACTGTTTTTTTCCCAGATTACTATTCTCAACATGAAGAAAGTAGTTTTGAAGGAGTGGCTAACCTGTTCCTTCTGCTCATGCAATCCAGTCAATCTAGTCCTGAAGCGGACTAAGATTTCTTTCTTAATGCTATTCATTTTACATACTTGCTTCTACACACATCACAAAGAATGAACTGTTGCAATAATCCCATTTGTAGGTGAGGCATTTCAACTCTGTGGAAACACACTTTTTTTAAAAAAAAGGCTGTGATGAACATCATTTGTGATCCAAGGTGCTATCTGACACAAACATGCAAAAAAGGCTGATAATACTAAACCATCAATAGACACCACTAAAAAGCAGATCCAGGGTTTATTTTTTTTCCAGGTGCTATAAAGTTCTTCAAATATCTGCATACTCGCCTTGGCTTGTTTGGGAAGCACCTTAGCTACACAAAAGGGTGCCCCAAACATGAAAGTGAAACTTCCTTGAGCAACAGCAGTGAAATGTATGTAATAAAATTTATTTTTTTGTTACCGAAAGGATCTTCGTTAGAGTTTCGGGATGTATTATTTCGGCACGGTAATCTTCATCTTGCACACTCA